ACATCCTCTCCTTATTAAGTCAATGTATAAAGTCAACTTTGCAACATTGGTATTAAATGGCCCACAATGGCACTGCACAACCTAGATGACATCATTTCAGCAAATTTTTTGTTGTGGGTTTTTGCGTCCCACAAGGACTGATCAATAAGACACAGTGAAAACTGAGCAACAGCAAGTGCTGCCACCTAAGCCACAGCAGAAGTAGGAACCTGCATTAAATGGGTCGGCTAACTGCTGGACTCAATTCATGTCGTGGTATAGTATGCAGAACATAAAAAGAAGTTGCCAGACGCTATATAAGAACACCAGAATACAACTGTTGCGTAGCTCAACACACATGGTGTTTCCTTTGCAGAACATCGTTGGCGCAACCTTAAAAGACGAAATAAGAGACTCGGAAAAGCGCACACTAGCAACTGACTTTTACTGAACCGAAGCTCATCTTATAAAACCCTCACGCATGCGTACAACCACAAGAAGAGACCAACCAACTATAGTTACAATCTATCAGATAGAAAATCAAATTCATTATCATAAAATGACAGAGATGGAACACTGATACATTGTTCGCCAAATTGTCTAATAAACATCGCCTCCGTCTTTTAAGGTTGGGCCAACGATGTTCTGCACAGTTACACACCAACTAGCCTGACAGGATACGTTAACGGTGTCTGCTTCTTTTCTTTGTGTCCTTTTTACATTGCAAAGATCATAACACAAATAAATTATAATAAACGGAACAAGAAAATCTTAGCATGCAATTCTTTTTGTCTGACAAAAAAAAATTGCATAGTATTTCACAGCTAAACTTGTGGATATATCACATATCAGTAGCATCAAAATAAAGAAACGTTCACCGACAGAATTAAGTCAGTGTCATTGCTGGAACAGAGCCATGCTAGAGTCGTGAATTGATGTTAAATTCTAATGGCAGAGTCGGAGCAAGTTTTTCTGCTCCTTTTAGAGCAAGTGAGTTCCGAATGGCTGAATGAGGGCAGGAGTCAAGTGTTCGAACGAGAGAGTTGGAGTGGATTCAGAGCGAGAGCAACTCTGAGGAGCAGGAAAAGTTGGTCTGCCGAAATCAGCGGAGTGGACCGCAACTGGGTGTGTCGCGCTTTCTTCAACACGCTCACCCACTCGGTGGCACGTGTTTTGCGACAGCTCTCAGTCAGAAAGCTCCAGTTCTTGCACAAGCAGCTCATTGGATCGTGTCACCGACTCTGAAACTGTCACGTACGAGCAGTAATTCAGCAGAATTGGACAGAAAAATTAACGGAATAAAATACCTACACGCTAGGTATTCTGCGCAACTCAAGGACATCCGCTCCCTCCTTGCTTCCATGCTTGCTCCAGCGGCACAGATTGTGTTCCAATTGCGAATTCGGAAGCATTGGTCTACACCAGAGTCGAGTGCTCGCTCACAGAGTCTAACTGCTGCTCAGATTATGCCACTGGAATTCAAGTAAAGGTCCTGTGAAGGGCAACACAGTCTCAAACGTCATACTTCACTTAATAGCTCAGAACTATTTAAGTATTCAAGGAAAGTATTGATGAGTAAAATATGACGCGAATATGACAGGAAGACTTGGCACACTTACTTGAACAAGCCCTTTCCAGTATGATGTTACAATGAAAATTGAGTGGCGAGTTGCTGAAACATATAGGATTTGCAGGACCATCATGAGATGCTGCTGAAGGGGCATCAGCATATTCATCAAGCGCTCAGCATTTGTAGCCTCATACCAGCACCAAATGACTGAAGCACAAATCTGTTGAAATTAAAGAAGAGAATGCCTTCCAAAAACAAGCTTTGATAGATTATGTAATTAGCATAAACTTTTAAAAATGAACAAACACAGTCTGTTAAAATTATGGCTGATTATGAACAACTCAGCAACTAAAGCTGAAACAAGTGCCCTCATGTCTTCCTCTGCACTCAAGTGCAGAAGCTTTTCTGCAGGTGTATGAGAAGTAAAGAAATGGAGCACAGACCTGTAAACATATTATGGTGCATTCGCTTCACAAACAGAAACAGATGCATCAGCAGTTATCCTTGTCTTTATTCCTATGCATGCAATGTAGTCCTGAAAAATACCACTAGGTATTGATTATTAATGATTATAGAACAGAGCAGCTGAATAAAACTCTATGCATAGCTTGCAACAATTGAATGGGTCCAAGAGTGTTTGCACAAAAACAACTCGAGGGCAACCCAAATGAGACCACTGATAGTTAGAAAGAGGCAGACTTGATGATGAAACAAATAGTGATCTAGCTCTCTATGTATGCACAGGTATTTAGGAAATCTTAAAGTTGTAGAAGTAAAACTCAAGACAGAATGTGAAAATAAGATAGACGCTACATACGCTCGAACCTCCATATAACGAACTTGGGTATAACAAGATATTGGTTCTAACGAAAGAAATAAAGAATAGTCTTGCAATAAATATAATGTTAAGGATACACCTTTATAACAAATTTTTGGATATAACGAACTTGTTTTTGTGTAAGATGCAACTTTGTTATAGTGAGGTTTGAGTGTATATATATATAGAGAGAAAGATGACCATGACAAAAAGGGAAAAAAAGGGGGGGTTCTCGGTGAAATTGACGGTTTGACAATGAGTGTACTGCTTGGGAGGAGAGAGAGAGAGAATTAAACTTTATTGTGCGACCAGATGCGAGTTCTCTTCACCAGAGGTGAATGGCTTCTTCATTTTAGGTAGCCATGGCTAGCCAACGACGCCTGAGCCCTATCCTTTAGCCGGAGCTGGTACTCGGGGTTTACCGGCGTTAGCAATGCTTCCCACTGGTCTTTTGGAGTCGATTGTCCGCTCCGCCCATCCGCAGGGTACTCAGGTTGTCTTGACAGCCCTATACCATGTGGTACAGGGTGTTTGCAGAGTCTGGGCAGTACTTAAAATTCTTGCTGTAGTTGTCAGGGTACACTGCGTGTAGTAGTGTACCATGCAAATAGGTGCCTGCCTGTTGCCTTCCCCAGGTCACGGCTTGCTCTGTACTCAGGCTTTTGTGAGCAGGTGGAGTCGTTGCTTCCGGTAGTGCGCGAGTATGTCGGGGCATTTTGTCAATCCGAGTACTGCAGTAGAGTAGCCCGGTGTGTATGCTCTCGGGACGTGGCGTGCGCTGCTCGGTTCCCCGCTAGAGATCCGTGCCTTTGTGTCTAAAGGTACTTGCATCTTGAAAGTCGCACTTCAGGAGGATTCGAAAGGCTAATTTTCCAACTGATTTCTTTTAGAACCTGCAATACGCTTTCTGTGAATCTGTCATAATTGTTACTGACGAAAAACTTTTACAGATTGCTCAAGCGAAGCCCAGTTCCTCTACGGCAGTTGCATCCTTGGCATATGTTGAAGCGGCAGTGAGCTCTCTGGCTTTTTATCCACCTCACAGGCTACGCATTTGTTTTCTATCTCGATATTCAGCCACATCTGTGTATCGTATGCTTCCACTGTTGCTATATCTCGCTAGCCCCTGCTGTAACAATTGTGCTCATGCATGTCTCCTTACTTTGTCATGTTCGGGGTGCATGTTCCTTGCTATCTGACACACAAATATTTATTCTTAATTTCTTGGGGAATAGACCAGGGCAGGTGAGCTTCTTTTCCAACTGCATAGCCAAGGTTCCCTAAAAGTGCTCGTCCCGTTTTTGTAAGTTTTAATCTTTCTAGTTGGTTCACATTTTCAACTTTAATGAACTCTTCCCAGGTATTATGGACTCCCATCTTGAGGAGCTTTGTCGTGGATGTGGTATGTGAAGATCCAATGGCAATTCTATAGGCTTCACACGTGAGGATGTTCACCTCGTTACGCTGACCATAAATGTACACGTATGGGGTCCTGTGTGTTATGGTGCTTGTAAGTAATGCTTAAAGCATAGTTATGCAGTCCTTCTCTTTGAGTCCATGGCATTTGCTTGCAACTGGCTTCAAAAGATGCGTTTACCTACTGAACTGTTTGCTGTAGCTTTTCTAACTCTGCTCCACCGGTTCTATCTTTTTGAATAAGGAGGCCGAGGATACCTAGTGTTGAGACTTTGGTAATAGTGATTTCCCCAAGCGTCACTACAGGATACAGAATTTCCCACAGCAGGCATCTTTGTGTGCATTTCTGCAAAATCAAGAGTTATAATTTTTCTGGTGTGCACGAGAGACCACATGCTGCAAGGTAGCGTTCAGTGACATGTACCACTTCTTGAAGCTGATTCTCTTTGTTTCCAGTAGATCCACCTGTGGTCCAAGTCATGAGGTTATCTGCACAAAGTTCTCTATACTATTGATAACACCATTGTATCAGCAACACTATCCAACAAATATCTCGGTGTTCACCTTTCATTAGACTTTTCTTGGACTATGCACATAGCAGCTGTCTCTTCAAAGGCCTCCCAGTCTCTCGGCTATCTGTGCAGAAACTTACGCAATGCTCGTTCTAACGTACGTGCATTATCATGTTCTTAGACCGAACAGAGTCACCTTTGTGCAGGTGGTCAGTTCCACCCAGGAAACAGTGACAAAGCTGAAGAGGGAATTCAGCGACTTGTTCCAACCTGGTACAGGGTTGATGAAGGGTGCACCAGCGCACATCAACTTGAAGAAAAAGTACCTGATGTCATACGTGACAAAGTGGCTAGGGAGTTGGACCAGCTGTGTGAAGGTATCGTATCACCATTCACCCACAGTGAATGGGCCACCCCAGCCGTACTCAAAGGAGATGGCAGTTTGAGGTTGTGTGGTGACTTCGAGGTCACTTTGAACGCAGCATGTGAAGTAGACCAGTAACCCCTGCCTAAGGTGGAATACAAGTTCGCCAATTTGAAAGATGGCTATTGGTTCAGGTAACTTGACTTACAGGAAGCATACTGCCATGTGCCGTAAGATGAAGAGTTGAAAAAGGCAGCAGTGCTAAATATTCACAAGGGACTGTTTTCTTACAACCGTTTGCCTTATGGAACAGCATCAGCGCCTGCAATCTTTCAGGGGAAAATGGAGGCAGTGCTCAAGGACATTCCAGGCACTCAGGTGTTCCTGGATGACATTTTGGTGGCTGAATGCCAGCATGAGTTTGGCACCACCCTATGGAAGGTGTTGTCAACTCTCCGTGACAATGGTATTAAGCTCAGGGAAAAGAAATGCATTTTTGGTGAAGAAGGAGTGAACTACCTGGGGCACCGAATAGACAGAGAAGGTCTGCATCTCTGTGAAAAGAAAACAGAGGCCATCATGAAGACACTTGAGCTATGCAGCGTCCAAAAACTTCGTTCATTTTTGGGCCTCATATCTTACTTTTGAAGTTTCTTACCAAATATGTCCACTATGCTTTCTCCACTCCATAAGGTTTTGAGGAAAGACTCAAAATGGAAATGGCACGAAGAAAAAATGGCTGCATTCAGGGCGAGCAAACTAGCACTGCAAAGTTTGAACCTACTGGTCCACTTTGACCCAAAGAAGCAAGTGATGTTGGCGTGTGATGCATTACCCGAAGGAGTTGGAGCAGTACTTTCACACGTCATTGATGGGGTGGAACGGCCCATCGCGTTTCGCTCAAAAACACTCAGGAACGCAGAAAGAAACTACTCTCAACATGAATGGGAAGCCTTGGCACTTGTTTTTGCAGTCACGAAGTTCAGGGACTACCTGCTAGGTCACTTGTTTGTTCTGAAAACAGATCATGAGCCATTGGTGGGGTTATTTAAAGAAACCAAGGCAGTACCTGTAGCGACAGCAGCCAGATCCAGAGATGTGGTCTTATCCTAGGAGCGCATGAATACACCATTAAATATAAACCGGGACAGCAGAATGAAAATGCCGATGCCCTCAGCAGGCTTCCTGCAGAAGAAGCTGAAGACACAAACTGTCAGAGTGAGCAAGTACTGTCAACAAGTCTCCTGGACTGCAGCCCACTATCACGTCAGCAACTTGGGGAGCTGACCAAAAAAGACCCTGTGCTAGTGGAAGTTCCCCACTGAATTGAACAAGGATGGCCAAGGAATGTTAAAGATAGCAAGTTGCAACCTTTCTGACGGCTACGACAAAACTCACAGTGGACTGCCGCGGTGATCGTGCGGTGATTCCTCAGCAAGCAAGGAGGGCGTTTCTGCTAGAACTACATGACACACATCTCGAAATAAACTCTACAAAAGCTCTGGCAAGTACACTCGTGTGGTGGAGTGGCATAGGGTCGGAGGTGGAATAACTCTTGCATGAATGCAGTGTTTGTCAACAAGCAGCAGCAATGCCTGTATCTAAGAAACCTTTGAGCTGGCCAGCCACAATGCAGCCATGGACTTACATCCACGTTGACTATGCAGGCCCAGCGGAAGGAAAGACGATCCTGGTGATTGTGGACAGCCATTCTGTGTGGGTGGAAGCTATTCCTACTACATCAGCTACGGCAGCCGTGACCGTAGAACACTTACAAACTGTTTTCACGCGTTTTGGCCTGCTTGTATGCCTGGTGACGGACAATGAAACGTCATTCACCGTAGTCAAATTCCAAGATTTTGTACGACAAAATGGCATGCGGCACATTCGTACAGCACCTTACAGACCACAATCAAGTGGTTTGGCTGAAAGAGCTGCTTATTCCATGAAAGAAGGTCTGAAACGTATGACCGGGGGAAGCCTTACCACAAGATTGGCCAGGTGGTTGCACATTCACGGCAGAAGACCATCGGGGAAAAAAAAACACGTTCACCAGCATAACTAATGCTTTCGTTCACACCAAGAACCAAGCTAGGTTTGACCATAAGGGTCACAGAAGTGCCATTGCCAGAAGAGACAAGTGGCTGCCAGAAAGGTGACCTAGTCTTTTGTGAAAACTTTGGTACTGGTGAATCACGGATACCAGGAGAGATTGTTGAAGTGCAAGGAAATCGCCTCTTGGAAGTGAAAACTCGAAGAGGAATCTTAGACGACATTTGGATCAGATACGCTGGAGGCACACAGCAGACCCAACAAGTTCCAAGGAGGAGTCAAATGAAGACCCACCAGAGAAGTTCTTCCCCAAATGGCAGCGAGAAGAACCGGTGCCAACAAGCTCCGCAGCCAAGCGTAGGTCTCGGGGTTCAGGACGCAGATCAGGATCGAACCTTTTTTCTAATTTGAAGTCATGTCGTTGGCTTCGACAAATGCCTCTAGCTTTTCGACATAGTTGATCCAAGATTCTGAAGTTGCCAGGAACGACAGTGGCGTTGCGATCAATGGTTGTGCTGGAGCAGCCTGAGCCATTGTACGTAATCACCCTCTCCGTACTCAGTCCCCACCTTGTTTCGAGCTGCAGGTTGCTCCCGGTAGTGCTCGTTTATCCCATCCTCATCCCCAGTTTTGTTATGATGTAACAAACATTTATTGACTGTTTAAAACCGCACGCATGCGGATACGCGGGTAGACCGAAAAACACACCGTTTACGAAGGCACATGCCCCCTCACGCTCAGGGTTGCCAGGGCATTATGTCCATTCACGTCAACATTGATGCCAGACTCCACACCCTCCCCACACTTACACGAAAACTTCCCCTTAAACGACATCTGGATCAAATACACCAGAGGCACACAGCATGCCCAAGAAATTCCGAGGCAGAATCAAATGAAGACCCAACAGAGGAATTCTTCCCCGAATGGCAGGGAGAAGAACCGGTGCCAAATGCTTCAGCTCCAGCAGAAGGGCTACCACAACAGCAACCACCAGTTGTAAAACCGACAGCAGCGTTCTCACAGACCTCCAAATCTATTAGACCTTTAGGCGAAGATTTTGTGTAAATGTGTGTGTGTGCGGAGGGGGGGGGGGGGGGTCTGGCGTCAATGCTGACGTGAATGGACATAATGCACTGGCAACTCTGAGCGTGAGGGGGCGTGTGCCTTCGTAAACGGTGTGTTTTTCGGTCTACCCACGTATCTACCATGCGTGCGGATTTAAACAGTCAATAAATGTTTGTTACAACGTAACACATATCTAACTTATGTTTGTCCTCAATTAGAGTATGCATCATCCACATGGTCACCGCATCAAAATTACCTAGTCCATACGTTGAAGCCATCCAAAATAGGGCAGCGAGATTGATAGCTGTAACTACAACCTTCATTCAAGCATCAGCCTTAGAAAACAAGAACTTGCATTCATGTCACTATATCAACGATGCATCATTGCCCTTTTATATTTATTTCATAAATACATCTAGAGTAACAAATGCCATTGTTAGCCACTTCTTATCCCTTTGCGCACATCTCAACGCATTTACAATGCACGTAGTTTTATGCACATTCATGGTCACACATTGTCATTTAACTCATCACTATTACCACGAGCCATAGCTAAGTGGAACGACCTTCCAGATCACATCGTGTCCATCTATAATTGTAAATCTTTTCATGATAACCTCATTTCCTTGCATTTTACTATTGTATAACTTTGTTGCCCCTTGCTGTTTATCTTTTTTTTTTCTTTTGTTGTTTCCTTGTTCCTGTCTTTTTGCTTTTTGTCAGTATTTTTTTTTTGCAGTGTATGTACTGATGCCCCCCTTACTCAATGCCCTTTAATGGGCCTGTAAGGCATTTCGAATAAATAGAGTGTGTGTTTAATGCCTTTTATTTATTTCAGTAGCTAAGGTAGCGAGCTCAACGAAAAAAAAGAAAAAGAACAGATACTCCACTATAAATTAAATGGTTTAACAACTTTAAGATGTTTAGACTTCCGTACAAAAAGCCTTGCTCATTTCTTAAAAGTTTTAAACCATTTTACTTTTGATCGGGGTTTCATGTGCATTCTTTTTCAAAATGGTGGCGAGCTGTAAACACAATGAATCTACTGTACTATAAACAAACAGAACATTGTCATCGAGCGCGTCTGGCCCACAGGATAAGCTCACTAGAGACCGTACCTCTTGTTCTTACTGATGGTAGCAACTGGCAAAAATGTGTTTATTTATTACATATACCAACAACACCTGAACTGGGCATTATGTGTAGGGAATTAATTGCAATAAAACATTGCAAATCAGTAGCATGAAAACGATAGAACTAGCATACACAGATATCGCAATGAAAGATACACCATAGTAATATCCATAAAAAGTGTAAGACACTGAATTATAAAAAAATTTGAAGTAATATTTAAATAAATTTAAATTAATGTTCTCTATGGCAAAAGAAAAGCTTGATGCAAACACCATGTCATCGGCCAGCAGATTCCTTTATTCAATTGTTCGAGGAAAGGACAACTTAAAAACCTTACTACGACATTGGTAGGGCCTTATTTTTTTCGAATCGTCATGTTTCTGAGAATGATCATGGGGCTGTTTTTTTTTTTATACGTATCCTTATTGATTCCAGTGTTACTGCAGTTGATGTGACGTAAAAGCTTTTGCCAGATTATCTCTGTGCGGGTGGAAAGTAACTTCCACCCCACTTTTTCACTGATTTAGGTTCATCGTATTTTGTAATCAGATTTTCCCTGTCCAATTTTGAAGTTCTTCTTTTGGACATGCTCTAACTTATCTACCAGTATATTGGTGAAGGGTCCCATGCTGCCCCTGCGTATTCCAACACGGGCCTGATATTAGTCAGGTACAACGTATAACGCTTTGTGCACATACTTGAAATTTCTTTGAATAAGTGTAATAAGCTATATGTTTCTACGCATGTTTTTTTTCAACGTGCGTTGCCTAGTTCAATGTCGTCGTTAAAGGGACGCCCAGATCCATTAGTGCATTGTTTAGTAAGCATAAACTACACACCCTTGTCATAGTAAACAGCACAGGATTGCATTTTGCTATGTTTAAAACTAATTTCCACATTTAAAATGCCAAGAACAAGTTTTCTCACGATCAGACTGCAAAACACTCGCATCATCTGCACACGACACACAACACAATCATCCGCATACAGTTAGAAATTCGAAACGAGACTATCACTGAAATCATTGATAAAAATGAGGAACAGAAATCATGACAAGCCGATTTAAAACAGGGAGCTCGAACTCATGCTCGTCCTCAAACTCATGCTCCGCCCATCATCGCATAGTCTGTCTTACTACCTTGAAAACACTAATTATGCCTACTAAGGCTTCCAAATTTGGGAGTCACCAACTAGCACAGCTTTCTGGTGTTCAAAGTCATTGAGAGTGGCGCTGGGTGTTGAGTTTCAATACTATCCAGTGGATCAGAAAAAAAAAAGATATCACAGTTATAAAAACAAAACCATTGTCTATAACACTGCCCCGTTCGCTGGTAAGTTTGTTTAGTGATTACCATTGTTCCAGGCTTCCATGGTTTCAGTTTTTCCTTCCTCTATGGTTCCAGTCACTGGTTTCGACCACCTTTTGCATTGTTGTCATGTTTAGTGATATCACCAACATCTCAACGGATGTTCAACTTCTGGGGCGTTGATTCTAGCTACCCTAGCAACGCTAGGTGTTCTGCGGCTACAGTAGCTACAGCGACGCGCCTAACGCGCGGTCAGCACGATTTTGGAAAATTTGGGAAGCTCCCTAAGAAGTACTCAAAAGTGACATCGGTTTGTGCTGACAGCTCAACCTGCCAATCTGCCGGAGGGGACGGCGTCGACGACGTCTCGAAAGACTGCGACGACGAACGAGACTAAAGTGCCTCGATGCTCGCTCGTTTAGGGCGCGCACATCGAGGCACCCTAAGTAGCAAGGCAACTGCAGGTACGAGACGCCAAACAGAACCTTGCCCGGCTGTCGACGTCTTTTGAGCGCGTCGGGATCTCGACTCTCCAGTTCTCGAATCTTGCCGGCGTACTTGTTGTAGAACGGGTTGTTCGCGTACGTGGACGAAGCGTCGGAATCGCTGCTCAATGGTCTTGCCGGTGTCCTGGTTAGTGGTGCGGCAGGTACGGTTTTCGGTTCACCGACGTTTCGATTTGAGGCGTTGCGGACGAGACGTTGCAGTGCAAGTCGCCATGTTGGCCTGAAGAGCGTCGTCGCGACGAAAATAAAATGGCGGCTTCCGTTAGATGGGAACGTCGACGAACGCTACTCACGTTGTATTCAAAAGAACACAGTGAACACGCCGGACAGCCGTCCCCAATCCACACGCTGCACGACGGACGTCGTAATAACGAACGTCAAACGAACGCATTATTTTAACGTGGCAGCTCGTCTTGGCTAGGTTGCGATTGGGCGTACGATCTTCTGAACAACGCCTACTCTAGTTGTAAATTAGTAATATCACCTTCCAAGTCCTAAATATTGAATTTTGAAATAAATAAAGCACATTTTTTGACACTTTCAAGTTTGTTTTTAAGGACCTCAAATGTTCTTGTAGCGAATCGAGCTCAGCTTGCATGTTGGTTTACAGCAACGTTGTTTACAAGCACAAGTTTTGCCAAATGCGTTCACGTAAAAATCTAAATGCGACAACACTCAAAAATTTTTATTTTTTACTTTTGAGAAACTGACCGTAACGTTTTATTTGGTGTCGTGGCCTCTGATGCTCAAGTGCAATCACTGAGGCTAAGCAATTCACTTGTTATCATCATCACCATTCTTTTCTGGACGAGTCCACAATAACTTGTGGGTAGGGCTGGCTTGTGCGTTGTATAAAATACCCGGTCCTCTCCTCAGTCCTCCCCTTGAGCACTTTGAACTTCATCGGCGCTGCTCCTGCGTTCATCAAATTGCGCCGTGTGAGTACAGTACTAGAATATGAAATATATCGCGTCCAATTCGACAGCAGTTATTTTACTATTAATATTTTAACGTTTTACTGTGTAGATAAACGTGACAGCCACGTTGACGAGTTCTCTTGAGTAATGGTGCGGGTACCACGTGGCCGGCATTGCTGAAAAAATGCGTTATCTGAAGGCCTGTATTGTAACACTGCAAAGTACTTCACCGAAAGGCGGCAATGTCGCGTTTGCCGACTCCCCTTTAAAGCCAACGCTTCATCTAAGCCTACTAGTGTTGGTAGTCCTTTGTCTCTTAACGGTCGCACCAGCAGAACCGAAATGTTTGTAGAATGTCAGTGTTGTGTGGCGTTTCCTTGAATGATGATCTTGTACGGGCGGACTGAAATAACGCTGAAGAGGTCCAGTACATTTCTGACGAAAAGGAAACCGCCTAATTGTTGCCGCGTGTGTGTTTGTACCGCCGTTGATTAATTCGCATTTTTTTTCCCTCTGTCGCAGGAGTGAATGCCTCCATAGGAAGTCGACTCGTGCTCCACGTTTGTATGTGTACACGTCAAATAAATTTTTTATTTGCTCAAATTTTGTGTGCTGTGCATTTAATAAGGTTGTGCTATTGTCGCGGTATACCCGTCGACTCCCTTGCGTCCGGTTTTCCGAAGCGACTAATTTCTGGGACTGGAATCTATTACGATTGCATACCGTGCTGATTTTAAAGGAGTGCTCTCTCTGGAAACCCTCACTCCGATGCCGCTGGCAAGGTCATATTACTGAAAGTAGCGACTCGGGTATCTTAGAGTTAAGTGAAGCTTGCTTAATTTCTTGTCAAGGTGCATGCGGCCAAATCTAAAGCAGGTTAGTGCTAGTCGTGGTAATTGTAATTACTGCTTGTACGATTATCTAGCTATGTTGCTTTGCTAACTGAATTCATTGACTCACAGTGTGATAGTAGCGGGGAGCAAGCATTCTTGCAGAGGTTAAAAATATCCTGTCCCTAGTGTGCATTTCAAAGTATCTCGTGGCAGTCAAGCTTTTGCGCGCATAGCTGCACTTTGTGTAAAATGGGTAGCATGCTTTTAACCATCATCATATAAGCGTGAAACGTTTTCAAACTTGCTATGCAGCAACATGTGAGCCTTATGACCACCAAGTCTGTATGGTAATCGCATGTTCTGACAACCGTTGGTAATGTATTCTTGTACCACGCAATATTACTGCAATATAACATGTATTGTGAAGCCTGTATGCAGAACTTGTACGTTAGTAAAGCACGCAAGTTACTTTCACTGTGCTTCCAAAGCAGACGTTTGGCTCAATGGTGGAACGCCTGCTTGCCATGCAAACGGTCCGGGTCTGATCCTCACTCATACGTGGAAATTTTTATTAGTTTTATTTGGAGCTTTCTACATTTTCAACCATGGATGATTTTTCACTCGCAACTGGCATTGCCGGAATTTTTGTGAAACGAGCTCTTTAATGCTTTCGCGTTACAATATTCCAAAATTTATGTCAAAGTCCCAGATTCAATGTCTCGTTTTGCTTCCAGCAAAGCGATTGTGCGTAGCAAAATATTTTAACCAGAAGTGGTCGTAGTACCTTTAGGTAACAGGGATGTGCTAAAATTCGTGTTTTACCTATCCAAAACTGCACATTAATGGAAGTAGTGGCTCCTAATGACCTGTTGGCCCTGGGTAAACATGCTACGAGTGGAATTGATTAGCATAATTTCGTTTTTGATGACATTGCCGAGCTTCTCTTATTCATGCTCTGATGGTGCTCAGACCAGTCGTCGCCAGGGTAAATGGGGACAAGAGTTGTTTCAAAACAGAGACATTTTCACGTGCAACTAACGACTGCATGACGAATGACACTAACAATGGTGAAGCAAACATTTGAACAACACACAGTACAAATGTTTTAAATAAACACTTTCCCAGTGCATGTAGGTAATGCCTGAGCAACCAATACAGCATTGTGTGCAAACAGCTGCTTGCATTACGTGATCATCACCTGGAACAGTGGGTAAAACGAGAATCACTTGAAACAGAATGCAGGCTGGCCCAAAGCTTCGAACAGCTAATCCTTAAGCTAAAACATTTGCTATGTTCCCTTGAAATTGCATGCTTGTTGAACCTTGTATTCCCACAAAAAAAAAAGAAAGCGTGCCTTCGATTAGGAAAGTGTACACTGTGTCTATTGCACCAAGTGCCACACAACATAGCTTTTCCCGGAAGAAACCTCAAATTTATACACTGGAGTTTCAAAAGAGTGCACTTGCCAGCTGCTTGAAAACTGCAGTTCAATATGCCGTAGAAACTGCAGGGTGAGAAATGCTGCAACTACAGTTTTTACGGTTGCCAATCAGTTTTTCACATTACGATACTCGACATTCCTATTACACATGGGCCACACATGTATTATGCACAGCGGCACACTTCTGGCCAATACTTTTGCACATACCCGCCACAAATGCACTTGAAAAGCAGTTAAATAACTTCCTTTTGGTACAAACATACTCCACCTTGAAGATTTTTTTTTTTAGAACAGCTACATTTAGTCTCTCTTCAAAGTCTCTGAAGAATTCACTGATGTAGCAACGAAGCGTTATCAAATGCTGCAACTTGAGCAAGCAATTACTGTATAATATATAACCATGTTATATGAAATGAAGGTAGGTGCATTATGTAGCCCTTAAAGGGGGCCCTGCAACACAAATTAGACGTGTAGGGTTCATCACTGCTTCTTGCAATGCAGAATGCACCACTATTGTTGCACTTGTGGCAAATGGCAAAGCCAAAAAACAAGGCCGTTATCATTTCACTTCAATGGAGAAACCACTGGCTTCTGATTAGTGACACAAAACAGTTATTGTTGTGATCAGCATCGACGCTTCAACACACGAGAGTGACGACACTGGCAGGGCGATTTGATTGGTGTGACGTGACAAGTTGCATCCTACAAAAAAATGTTTATATCCAAAAATTCGTCATAAAGGTTTTTTCTTGCACTCTATATAGTACAAGACTATTCTGCTTTTACTTCGTTATTGTTGTATCGTGCGTTGGATGTAATGCACAAAGATGTTATCCCATCCTGGAGACACAGGTGGAAACTCTCTTTTATGTCCACAAGAATAACTATATATACATTTATACAACGTCCTCTAGAGGCCAGTCAACAGGTTTCAGAACTGAAACTAACAAGACACGTCATCCCCCCTTGAAATGAAGATGATGCGGGGTTCTGCACGCGACCACTGCACGATAAGAATAAAAATGTAGGATTTACACAGAAAAATAAGGAAATGCACAACATAACGCATAAAGGATTGCACAGCAAACACAGAAAGACGAGGCACACACCACCCTATCATCCCCTCCCCTGAGAGAGGATGTCTGCATAGTCACTGTCTCGTTTGAGTCTACGGCCTCGACGCCTATAGTGATGCCACTTCCACGACAGGCCTCTGAACTGTCGCCGCCCACAGCAGTCTCATGCGAAAGAATAGGCCCATGAACTTTCCTTTAGAGGTACTTTTGGCATAACAGGAGCCGGAACAAGCATGCGATGAAGCTTCGGCGAGGAACTGCTCGGCACCATTGATGCAGGTGCCGTGCAGAGAACCGAAACGGGCACGGCTGGCGCAAACGCGACCGGCGGTAGCACCTCCGGCGGATCAAGCACAGAAACAGCATCCCTGGACCACCACCAGCCGAACGAAGCACAGCCAGGGCGGAAGCAGCAGCAGGCACAATGGGAGCAGCAAGCAGGTCAGCAGCAGTAGACCTGACCGGAACAGCCATCCTTCTATAGTAGAAGTACTCCCAGTCGAAGCAGATAGAACCATGATACGCTAAACTGCAGGCAACAGCAGGAACAGACGCATCAGGAGCACGGCCAGCTGGGACGCTTACAAGCGCCGCACAAGATAGCACACTTTCAGTCTGGGCAGGAATAGTCGCAGTACTGGAAGTCGAAGTATGGCCCGATCTATTGGTAGCTACATCCCTTGTGGATCGGCAGACACTTACATCATGTCCTCTCCTTCCCCAATGCACACAGGTGCTGGTCCTTGCAGGGCAAGTGGCAGCGTCGGCCCAGTGCTGCGACGAACCGCAGCGGAAGCACGCTTTCACGCGAGTCGACGGCGACGCCGAAGAACCAGAGTCAGAGGTGCCGGTAGCTGAGGGAGCAGTCGCAGATGGCGCCAGTTGCGAAGCAGCTGGAGAACGAGGAACGCTCCTAAAGGTGGAAGGAAGGTCGTCTGACGCGATGAAACAGCGTCGCTTGAGGCAATCCAGCTGTTGTAATGTGCGATCGATGCGCTCCTCTTCTATGGCAAGATCTAGGGCCTTCTAAATGGAGAATTCCGATCCAATCTTCAGAATCTTTCCTCGCAGATTCGGGAATGCGATGTCTTCTACAATTTGGTCGAACGCCAGCGTGTCGGTACTCACATCGAATTGCAGAGTCTAGCAAGCCGTTTAATTTCTGAAATGTATTGCACTGCGGTCTTGGCCAGTTGTTGCCGTAGCGTCTGGAATAAGGCACATCGGATCGACTTGCTTGTCAAAAATCGTGTCCAACTGCCAGAGTGTTTCAGCATGCGCTTCAGCAGTTGAACGCGATTTTTTACGAACGAGTCAACCTGAGCATACGCATCTTGCACAACGTCCGCCGGGATCGCATGGTCTGCTGCAGAGTCAGTTTGTCCTCCACTGCACGCAGGCAAGAGTTTAAACCTTCAACGCCCAGTGAATTCAGTAGCAACACCTTCTTGTGCTCCATCATGGCTTCCCAGGTAGCGGAGTCGATGTAAACTTGAAGAACCAGACGCCACTGTCGCCATGGAATAGAAGGCCTACCGGGGCACTGCAAGAACAGGGGCGGAGGTATCACAGTATACATCCCTGTGGAGAAAGGTAGCCGAACCAGAGGACCGAGTCATACACGTAGCCCAGTATACATAGTCTCAGTGGTCACGAACTGGTGATCAGCAGAAAATGTAGTATCGGTGTAGGCAGTATCCAAGGGTGCTGAATGCAGTAGCAATGGTCGTACTCCCACTTTCGGCCGGACGCATGCCGATTCGCCGCCTTGTCGCCGGATGTTGTATTGTTCGTTAAACGCGATGCGCAGAGCATACGAGGCCCAGCGCCCAAAGTGCAGGCTGGGAATGAGAAGTGGCGCGCACGAGACCCACGCGGAAACCTTCTTTTATGTACATAAGCATCACTATATATGCATTTATACAATGCCCTACAGGGGCCAGCCAACCGGTTCCGAAACCAAAATTGAAACCACGACACCAGTTATATCCGATATTTCGTTATATAAAGGTTTGAGTGCATTGACATGGTCCCAGACAGGCCACACTAGTATGTTTTTATGATATTTTGAAAACAGTTCCAAAATGACACTAGGTGCACCACACGATGGCCACCACAAGATGCTTTATCTGGTATGTCTCTGTAAAAGGTGCGTGGTGATTGGAAGTGGCCTTTGAAGTCAATGGAAGAGTGAAATGCGAAAGGGAACATTTTTTCTCGTCTACTCTTACAATTTTGAAGTTTGAAGACTAATAACTTCTGTTACCGTGTACCAATTTCAATAATTATTGCGGTGCTCATTTCAGTATTCAGTACTACATGCACCCAGCGCTGCTGAATGCAGACAAAAAAGTGTAGCAGGGCCCCCTTAATTAAGTAACATCGTTCACTTTACGAGTATTGTAGGGACTTTACAGTTGGGGCACCAATCTGTTAATACAGCCGGGATTGCTATGACGGTGCACCAATGCAGTATACTCTGGAAGCCAGCTATGGCAGGTGCGGCAAATACAACAGATAAGCCACAGTTGGAAAACGTCACAAACACAAAATATCACAATCGCTTGACTAAATGACTTCTAAATGAAGTCATTTAGAATGACTTCCCTTAATTCTGAGCTTTGTCCTTTGAGATCATCTATACAGTGACTGCGTTCACCCGTACTATCACAGTTTCTTTGGTCTTGGTTACATCCATACATTACGCGCAGCACTGAACGCTGAAGAGGGAAAGTCCGCAGTTGAACCTCTGGTCTTGAAGGCGCTAAAGAGAACATTCCTTTTTGGTACAACCTTCTAAACACACTTGGGCGTGACGGCGGTGTTCTTTGTTGCTGATGCACGGTTCTTGAAAGGTACCCTATTTTACACATATAACTCACACACACACAATATGACAATGATAACAAAGTCAATGTGATTGTAACATGCAAGTTTTAGGAGGGCAAGGCTGCACTTCTTCCCAGCAATGCAAAGAAGGTAGGTTCATGGAAACAGTATGCTGGGGATCTCTTCTTTAAGAAAAAGCTAATCTATTAGTGGTATTAGTGGTAGTTAGGAGTGAGGGTTATGAGCAAGGGCAAGTTATAAGAAAAAAAAGTACAACAAACTCCACCAACTCTAAAATGAATGCAAAAACTGCAAACGTTACAAACACTATATCTGACGATCACTATGGCAACACTGCTTTGTGCTGTAGGAAAGCGTTCTTTTTAAGACATCCTGAGAACAAGGAGCTGTCTAATGCTTGCAACTCTGCCAGCTTCCGAGTCCTTTCCTTCCTTTTAGAGTTCTTTTTCGAAGTCTTTTTCTTCTTTTAAGCTGCCGCTAAAGCACTGTCCAATGTCGGCTCTGTCGAGGCTTTTGGCGCGGCAGTGTTGACAGCTCTGTCTAGCTGTACAGAGGAAAATAAGATGGAGGCACCAGTTATGCTCCGACTGCCTTGGCTCGTGCTTGGGCACCACGATCCGGGACAGCTCGACTTGCCCTGGGCACTGCTGACCTGTGGAGGAATTCTCAGTCCATCCAGATGGCGTAAGGGTCATCTCAGAAGCTTGCGTGAAAAAAAGAAACAAAAAAATTGCTGACAACTGGGATTCTCCTGATAAAAGAAGGTGGGCGCGCAAACAAGGTCACGAGAAAAAATATCCCGGACGGCACACACCTGGCTGGAAACGTTCCTTGCATCACATTGGTTATGATGCAGTACAGAAGAATTTACAGTGTAATCCGTTTGATACATTTTTTTGAAAGGAACCGGAAAATACAGGTTCTTTGTAAGGGTACTCGCTTGGGTGAGTTAGTACCTATTGTTAGATTATTGCTACCTTTTTTTAAGGCAATAGCGTTAAAGAGATTGTTTCACGGAAATGGTGTCGTTGGTTGTGAGCAAGAAATCATCACCTTATGCGTGACTGAAAAATCGAAAACAATGCAAATAAATAAAATAAATAAATGATAAAAACCCTGGAGCAGAGTGGGGATCGAACCCGGGTCGTTTGCATTGCAAAGCGGATGCTCTACCACACAGCCATGCCTCTGCTTGTAAATACAGTGAAAAGAACTTTCTCTGCTTGGAAATGCAGTGAAAGTAGCTTTCGTGCTTCACAAACACACGCGTCTTGTATATATGCTTCAAAATGCAACATGAAGTATTGCAGTTATATTGCGGGGTACAAGCGTACATTGTCATCGAGTGTCAGATTATGTGATTATCACAATGGCTCCATGGTTCAATGTTATACGTACCCCACTACTAAAGGCACACGCGCTACTGTGCCTATTCCCTTAAGGCCGCGTAGTGGGTGCATAGCAAATATGAACAGGTTTCATGCACTAAGTGTTTGAAGTACGCACTACAAACAGGATGTCGCTATCATGTTCAGCTCGTAAAGGCGAAGCTATAGAGTCCCCTAATTTATTTTCTTTTTTTGTAAACATTTTGTTCCAACCATGAAATGCGATTGTATAAAGGCATCATGTGTCCATACAATAAAAAAAAACTCTCTGAAAGATTGCATTTGTGTTCGTGTGGTTCTTCATCTAGTCAAGTCTACACCTTTCAAGTGGTGCGCAATAGCTAACAACGGAAAAATAAAACCTACGAGGCAAGAATTGTATCAGCCAAACAGATTAAAGAAAGAAAGAAATCGCACATACTCCGACTGCAACTCAATTTTATCGAAAAATTAAAGTAGCTGGTCCCTTTGCACTGCACTTTGTTCTTTTGAACATGTAGGAGCAAATTCTTTCTGTAAAAGAAAGAAGCTGCAGTGTGCTCACTCACCTCTTCATACACGACAAAACTACAAAGTGCATCCCAATGTTTCAGCGCGTCGCTTGCTGTTGGCAGAGTTCTTATGACCGCACAACCGAGGCTACTGCGGCCTCGGCAGCTCAGCAATGTCCAGGTCACGGCTACTTGGAAAGCGCGTTCAGCTAATATATCGAAGAATAAACGAAGGATTCCCAGACATATCGGTCCAGATTCGCTGTCGCGATCATACTATCCAATGCCGGGCAAAATGTGATCGTATTAAGTGCATGAAAATTAATTATTTCGAAGCAACGTTAGTCGAGAATTAAAAGAAAAAAAAAAACGTATTATGTTGAATTGTATCAATGAGATTCCACTGTAATGAGGGTTCTTTTTTTCAAAGAATTGCAGAAATGGTCTCGTTTTCAGTATTTATATTCTGGGACCACCATCTATATATAAGTATGATGTAACTGATGGATATGTAATAAATATCGTATTTTCCAGAAGTCACACCTTTGTATAAGACGCACCCCCCTATTTTGGCACATATTCACAAAAAAAATTCATATATAAGATGCACCTATTATCAGTGCGATCAGCCCAACTGAGCACAATTCACCACGTGCTTAGTTTTATGCATTGTACATACCCATTCCGGATCACTCGCATTCCCCTAATCCATCACCAAAAGTGCTACAGATTACAGCAAAAATGCAGTGATAGAGTGCTTGTAAGCAGAAAAAAGAATTTATTTCTTCGCTGCGCGTTATCTAGAAACCATCAAAGGCCTCGCTCTCCGATACGCTGTTGAACAGTTCGGCCGATTTACTGGACAGTGTCGCAGGGACATTATTGTCACCTTCAGAGTCGCTGCTGTCATAATCGCCAGTAGGCGCAGACGCAACAAGGCCAGCTTTTTGAAAACCTGCAGCTATTGTGGACACAGACACGGTATCCCACGCTTCCTCGACCAACTTGGCCACCTCGCCAAATGTTGCATGTCTCATGCGTCCAGTGGCCATAAAGCTGTGGTCGCTGTCGGTCATCTAGCTTTCCCACAAATGGCGCAGTACAGCTTTGAAGCTGCAGTTGACAGAGATATCCAAAGGTTGCAGCAGCTTCATCATACCGCCTGGTATGACTGCAGGCATGCAGTTGACAGCCTTGACTCTTTTAAGTGTTGCGTCGGTAATATGCATACGCATGCTATCCATAATCAGCAGACCTTTCTTCACATAGAAGAAGCCGTCTGGTCATTTGACAAAACATTTTTCAAGTCAAACTACCATCATGCACTCATCCTTTTGTCCCTTTTCGTTTGCCTGGATGATTACACCAGAAGGGAAGCTGTCGTTCAGCAGTCTCTTCCACTTAAATATAAGCATTAGTGGCAGTTAGGTTCCATCAGCCTAACAATCAAGGACGACTGTAAAATCTGATTTTTCGTGCCCGGTTGTTCGCAGCAGCACCAACTTCTCACCCTTCCGCGTAGCAGTTCGTCCCATCAGAATGTCAAACGCCAATGGAATTTTGTCCATGTTGACCATGTGATTTTCCGATATCTTGCTTTCGTCCACCTGCTTCTTCACAAACGCTTGAACTTCTCCAGATTTCCAGCGAAGTCTTCGGGCAGCTTTTGACAAAGTATTGTGCGCACTCTGATGCCTCAAAGAGTTGCACGTCATAAATCTGAGGCACCAAGAAGGTCCGCCGGGAAAACATACAACTCTTGTACCCTAGTGCGCGCTTTGAAACGCAACTGCACAGTAGACGGTGCACTGCCTTCAGCACGCTATTCTAGTGCCCAAGTGCGCAGACGGGCCTCAAGTTCCGGCCATCACGCTTTCAATCCTCTGTCAGCTTTCTTCGTACTTCTAATAGCCCAATGCTTGTCCTCCGACTTACGCCAATCGCGCACCATCTTTACACTCGCACCAAAGTGTCGTCCAGCCGCATGGTTACCGTCTATAAGGGCGTACTTAACCGCTGTCAACTTGAACTTTCACCTGTGGCTTTTCCGCGATTGCCGAGGCACTATGGTGAAACTGGACACACAAACCGGGCAAAGCAGAGACGGCGACTCAACCGCCGCAGCCCAGCTCACACCACGTGATTACACTGGTGAAGGACGGCTTGACTCAGCTTGGCTCGCCTCGGCATCGACATGGATTGTCCTTATTATCGCCTTGCAAGTGCAACAGTGCCTTCGCTGTCGGCCTTTGACTACAATAAACGGTGTGAAAAAGCTCTAAAAGGGCAAAACAATAACATTATAGTGCAATAAAAAAGCATCATGACTTGCTAATTCTAAATTGCTCAAAAATTTGGTAACTTGTGGAAAGCAGAATCATTCTAACTTTTTTTTCTCAGTCGCGCTCGCTGTTAAGCAACCTGAATCTTGATGTGCCGGCTTCAATTGCTCGCTTAACAACCTGACAATCATCACCACAGTTTAAAAACAAAAAGAAATAACTTCAGTTTCAAAGTGAAAGGGCAAAAAAAGATATACAAGTTGCACACTTGTATAAGACACACTGTGGAAAATCCAGAAAAAAAATGCGTCTTATACTTCAAAAAATACAGCAAACAAACTGAACCCTAAAGGGGCACCGGCACAAAAATTATCAGTAGCCATTTTCTCGCGTCGAATAAAAGGCCAATCCCCTGAAATTCCACAAAATGCACTGAAATGCTTGATTGCAGTCAGAAAAGGTAATTATTACCGTGCGATTTTAAAAGCTAGTTTCAGTTCCTATTGTAACCTGACACGATACGAGCTTCTTAACAACACGGTACGAGCATCTCGTCGCACGCTTGTGCAAAATATCTTAATGTTTAGACAGTTGCTCGGCACTGCAGCTCCGTTGGCGACACTCAAGCAGCCATTTTGAAAGTTTGGTACCTGATGACAATAGCAACTAGCCAGACTGCCACGTGAAGTCACCAGAATTCAACCTATAGCTTACGTCAAGCCAATGTCGACGTCAGTAGCTGCACCCAAGGCAAAATTCACTTTAATATCTAAATTAAATATCTCGCCAGCGTTTGCGGAGCGTCACAGTGACACTTAGAGAGCTGCCTCTGTATAGATTGCTTCCCATAAGACATCGGAGTGCCATCATCTTGGACTGTTCTGCTGATATGTTCCTGTTGCTATCTGTTGCGACATGAATTAATAAGGCAACTGAACATCGAACACACAAACCCACTTGTTCTCATGCGCATGCCTCACCTGTAACACTGTTCGTTTAGTTGTTAATGATACAAAACGCAAAGGCTAATAGCCCAACACGGCCGTCCTCAAAACCGCCTGTAAAATAGTCAATACAGGACATTTGCATGGCTGAGTAAACTTTGAAAAATGGTGTCGGTACCCCTTTAAAACAAGTTTGCTTAACTCTTTGAATTTGTACATACAATTTTATGATACACGAGAAGTAAGAACCACCTACTAAAGTTGGAAGACAGATAACAAGGTCAGCGTTCACTTTGCGACAGTCTCCAGTCCATTTCTTCCTTTTACTGACGCACTGCAGGTAAGCAAACATTTATCGCAATTACGTACTGCCAGTGCTATTCATTCATGGAGGTTTTGTTAGCGACAAGCTTCAATTATGTAGCCATATCTCCTCCTTCGGTCAAGCCTTGCTCAACACCATCCAAGCCTCGCAGACACAAGTACCGCCATTTTTGTGACGGCATAGCACCTTTTAGTACACATTCAAACTTCATAATAAAGCTGCATATTAAAGGGAAAATAGGCTTGTTGTATCCCAAAATTCGTTAAAAAGGTATATTCCTAACATTATGTCCATTGCAAGATTATTCTTCATTTACATCATTATAACCAATATTTTGTTATATATGGGCGTGTTCCATCGAGGTCTGAGGCCACATATTCCTTTGGGTGGTATTGTGAAAAACATTATGGCACATGCGAAACAGCAGCATATGAGAACAAGGTAATGGACAAAATACTGGGGTCCCGCCAAACCCTCAACCTCACAAGTATGTTTACAGTAGCGCCTTTGCACGTCGTCTTGTCTTTCCAACCATGCCAGTTTCACCCTACACTGCACAACTCGAAAACCACTCGCCAAGACCAAATTTCCACTCATACATGGCGAAAATACACAACGCAAATTTTGCAACTTCGCCAAAAGAAAAAGTGAAAAACGCAGGACAGGCAATATCAACCACCATGTGTGTTCACCAACTCACCGGATTTTATATCCTGCAACAAATGTGCACTGTCTCCAAAATTATAAGCTGTACACTGTTTTATCAGAAAAGAATACGGTCTGAACCATAAGTCCCTCCCGGTCTTCATGGAGAAAACGCAGCTACACAACTTTGTGTAATATATATTGATACCACAGGGCAGAGGTTGGCAACCTTTTGAGGCCAATGGCCACATTGCATGCCCCCGGCATGGGTAACTGAGAGGGGGGGCTTGCAGATAAATAGTAAAACTTCGGCGAATTGACACTACTTTGTAAAACTCGAACAGAAATCATACCATGTATACTCGCGTAATGAACACACTTTGTTTTTTGAAAAATATAAGCAAAAAAGGGTTGTTTTGATTATGCAAGACACTCATGAAAACTTTTTCGTGTTGAGCAAGTATTGCAGTAATAAAAAAAAAAGTTAGGTCGCTTAACCTTTCTCAATTGACATACACATACATTATTCTATCTATACCTGCCAACTTCAAGGACTCAGAATCCGGGAGATTTCGCAACGGGGGAGGAGAGGGGAGCCGATTTATTTCTCCCCTTCACACCAAAAAAAAAAAGAAAAACATTGCCAGAAAAAAAATGGGGGGGGGGGGGGGGGGGGCAATGTTGGGAGTTTTCAACTACAGTAGGGAGGTGCGAGTCACAATATTCGTATCTCCCGATATTAATCAAAACAACTAGCAAAATCTATTTCAGCCAAAAGAACTCGTCTAGTTCTTCCTGGTACACACGTGAAGGGGCGGGACAGAGCAGGTGGCTGCGGCGGAAGCGCAGATCAAAGCTTCACTTAAGGCTAACTTAATGACAACGTATACATCCATATAGTACGCAAATTGATTACTAGGCTCTTTGGACAGAAATGCGAAAACACTTTTAGCCTTTTTTAAGTCTTTATTGCTATTAACCTATAGCTGCATTAGCCGTGTGGCCTTGGAGCTCGAAGTCGCTATGCGTTGCCGCGAACACAGTTTCGTGCGCGCCGGCTTCGGCCAGCAGTAGTTCCATTTGCGATCTGCGTGCGTTGGCTTTACACGTGCCTTCAAAACTAGGTCGTTTTTGCTCTCTATGATCGCATTTGCCACGGTTTTCTGCGCAGCGTTTCTGGAAAGCAGCATCGCTTTGACTGGTCGAGCGTTGCAAGCGCGCACACTTTCAGACTTCTGTCAGTTATGTCACCATTCGCGATCGTGTTAAAAGCAACTGTGGTTTCGTCCGCAGCAGTTGTGGCAAACGATAACCACAAGCACTGTCAGAAGACAGTGCATGCACTGGCCGCACACGTACTTCCGCCGCACACGTACTTCGAAAACTTCGAGCACACTGCTCTCAGCCTTTGTTCGGCGGTTTTCAGTACTAAAGTTCATCTCACCCGCTGCAGTGAGGAAAACTGTTCCGAACATCCAAATTTTGGCCCAATGGACACAGTAGAATTTGAGTGGGGAATTTCGCAAATTTGTATCAACCAGTTTCGCAACACTGAGATTCTATTGTGCATTTAGATTAACGCCTCCTAAATTCGTTGACAAGAAAATACGTTACGCAATTCGCAAAAAGACTTGGGTGGATTGCGCTGCATTTTTCTCAATGCGGCCAGATTACGCACAGAAATTTCGATTTCCGGGAGATTTTCATGACAACCGTATACAAACATAAGAAATGGTCAATCCGAGAGCCTCCTGGAAAATCCAAGTGACTTGACTCTATCTGTGCACGGCACTTCACTCATCTTCGGTGGTTGATTGTGATATCTTCTGCAAGCTATCTTCCATGATACACCACTGACTTTGCAGCAAATAACCAACATTGCATCAAAGCTATCACCGAAGCATGAAAATAAGCCGAAGATAACAAGAAAGAGAGGTAGCCATATATTGCATTCCTTGAAGTATGTGCGGATAACAAGCATATGAAAAGCCATTTGCAACTGAAGCGAGAATCAGGGGTGCTGCCACATTGTGCAAATTGTCAAGCTCTCTTCTGGCGACCAAGCAATCGTTTCTGATATTTCAAAAACCTGCGACACGATGACCACGACTGGCTCTTCACAACAGCAAACCCTGCCGTCATCGCTTGAAAATCGCGCGCATGTGGTTGGGCCTCTAAGTTTCATATTTGCAGAAAGCAACTGTTGGTTGGCACGGGCAGTTTCATGACCTTCGTTCGCTGTGTGCTTGCACCGTTTGTGAACCACGCTGTGGTGCATAGATAATTAAAAAAGTCTGTGGACGTGCTGCACACAAATCGAAAAAACAACAAAAAAGGGCAAGCGGCAGCTGGCGAAGGGAGGGAGCAAGCCGAGGTGGCCGAGGACGGTCGGCATAATAAAAAGCGGAAAAGATCTCACTGGCAGGGAGGTGCCACGTGTCTGTCGGCTCACGGAAATGCAGCGGATGAATGTAGGGGGTTCATTTATTACACAGGAGAAAAAAAAAAATCAAAATGTCTACAACTGAAGTTGAAGGTGCGTTTATTATGCAAGTGTGTTCATTACAATCAAACAAGAGTTACAAACGAAAATCCAATATTTAGTCAAAACTGCTTTGTTGCTCTTCAGATAGCAAGTGGCAAGGGCAACGGGAGTTTGATGCTGTGCCGGTGGCCGCAGCTTAGTGTGGCCCGCGGCCTTCTAGTTGCCAACCGCTGCCACTGGGCAAACTCGCGCAGTAAAAAACAAAGAAGTTGGAAGGGTACCTCTTTATCCCACAACAATTGTCATCTATCTTGCATACCTTTTCTTGCAGTGTTGCAGTGTGCCCAGTACTTCAACGAGATGAACAGCATGCACAATATCAGCACCTCATAGTCTTCTTGACAGGAAAGCCGTGAGGGCTAGGTTTTCAAGAAAGAAAACGCAACCAGATGACTATTATTGCAGTGGGACAGAAATACACTCTTTTTAGTCTTTCTTTTTTTAAAGTGCAGCCGATGTTGACTACAGACAATTTTATTTTGATTGATTGATTGATTGGTGGGGTTTTAACGTCCCAAAACCACCATATGATTATGAGAGACGCCGTAGTGGAGGACTCCGGAAATTTTGACCACATGGGGTTCTTTAACGTGCACCAAAATCTGAGCACACGGGCTTAGAACATTTACGCCTCCATCGGAAATGCAGCCGCCACAGCCGGGATTCGATCCCGCGACCTGCGGGTCAGCAGTCGAGTACCTTAGCCACTAAACCACCGTGGCGAGGCACAATTTGATTTCCAATTTGGGTGCCATCATTAATGTGTTAAAACACGAACGATTTGTCGCTTTTCCATACAATTATGTCAAATTCATATACAGTGAACTGCCGATTTTTCTAACAGCCGAATTTCCGGACATGCCCGATAATTCGGACATCTGCGCGGCACCGCCACGAGCCCCGTAGAATCAATGTATAAGGAAGTCTGAAGTTTCGGACGCTCAAACCACCCGGAGTCCGTTTTTATGGAATTTTTGAAGCGACGGAAGGTCGGAAACCACTACTGACCTTCAGTGGAAACCACCGCAATTGCGTTATACGCGATTACAATCGCATAAATGAGCGCCCCGGTCTACTGTGGCAGCATCAGTTGCTTGGACTCGTTGATCATTAGCGGAGAAACACACACAGCCTCCGAGATTCCTAACACTGGCCGTGTTTATCGTGTAAGGGTGCTTCGCTGACAATCAAAACTATTTACCGGAAATTTTTTGGCGCCTATAAAGTTCCTTTCGCTTTAGCGCTTGTGCGTGCCACTCTGGCTTCCCGTGCAGCGCTTTCGCAAAGCATTTCACCTTTTCGAACTAGAACTAACCATCACACACCGATTTGGTCTGGGCATGCTGGCTATCTTGAATGTTTACCAGCGCCACCTCCAGAGTACCCGAGGCACCATCACCTGCCGTCGTGCCGTTTTTTTTACGCAGCCCACAAGGTGTTTGGCGAGCCTAGTGCGTGGTTGTGCGATCATGTGAAGTGTGCTCTGCAATGCTAAGCCTAGGTGCTTCGACGCTCGTCAGCAAACTCCTTTGTCCACATCCTGAGGATTTCGCTTGCCTGCGATAGCCTTCACTCCGCCTTCGTCGTACTCGCCGATGGCATCGAAGTGCGGAAAACAGTACCATCGGTTAACAATGGAGAAGAAAGCCGGAATTATTAAGTTAGTGAAGAGTGGCCGATCGCAGGCTGATGTGAGCAAGGAGTTCGGCATTTCCAAGCAAACAGTTTCCGATTTCCTGAAGAACAAAGACAAGATCTTGGAAGCGGTGGAAAAACCGTCTGGTGCCCAAAAGATGAAGGCAAGCCAAGGTGTTCATCCAAAGCTTGAGGACGCTCTTGTCCGAGAAATATCAATGAAATGGTGCGTTTTTTGCTTGCATTGAGAAGTATTAGCAAAATGGTGCGTTTTTTTGCTTGCATTGAAAATTATCAGTAAAATAATGCATTTTTTTTGCTTGCATTCATTTTTTCGGACTTCCCGAATTTTTGGACGGTTTTTCGCTCCCTAGAGGGTCCGAAAAATCGGCAGTTGACTGTAGTTTCAAAAATCTGAATGTATCTATACGGACAAGTTTTTATTCGTGTGAGTTCACTGTACAGTACAGTTCACTGAGTTGTTCCAGATTTTAAAAAAACAACAGCATCAACTGCCTAAGATGACGGTATCTTCATACTTTCACAAAACGGTCGATATGCTTCTGAAAGTGACACTTACCTCTTGGCAATGTACGGAATTTGAGGTCGGAGCTCGACCTCGTACGTAATCTGATTCAGCGGCCCGTCTTTAGGAGTGTGTCGTCCATGACGACCTCGTGACACTTTGAAAGCCTGTTTGCTTTGGCACTTGGCTACTGCCGCTGGACGGACTTCCGGCTGATCACACTGGTAGATGTCAACTGATCCGTCAGAGTCCGACTCGCAGAGGCCGTGTTCGGTCACTGCACTGCTGGCACATTTCTCGTAGAAACTGTCCCACAGACGCTTTTGCCTGCCCTTTCGCACCTGTCTTCTCCACGAAGTGCTGGGGTACCAGTGGCAAGGTTTCTTGTGTGACGTCCGGTGCTTGGAGGTCCGTGCGCCTCGATCCGGTGTTTGGGTCGCGTCGGTAGGAAGTTTCTGCGTAGGGCATGCATCATCATCATCATCATCATCATCATCATCCCATAGTATGTCCAGTGGAGGATGAGTGCCTCTCTCAATGACCTTCAACCACCCTGTCATCTGCAAGACATTTATGCCAGCAAATTTTATGATTTGGTCACTACGTCTAAACCTTCCGTCAATTTCGGCAACATATCTCGTCCTTTCTTATTCTTTCTGTCTCTTTAAATGACCCTCACTTATGGCACAATACTAATGAGAACTTGCAGACAATGATGCCAAGGAATGCATGGGAGACGTTGTTAATAGTAAATGTAATGCAGATGTGAAGAAAGAAAGTGGACGAAACGATGTCTTGCCGCTGGCGGGGACCGAACATGCAACCTTCAATTGCGCATCCGATGCTCTTTGCACATACATTACAATTACAACTGATAGCCCCTCCTATAGTTTCCTTGGCATCATTCTGTGTAAGTTCTCATAATTATTGTGTCCACAATTTATGAAATATTTTATTGGTCAAAACAGAGCAGGTTCCTTTGCTACACGGTAACCAATCTGAATCTCACTGGCCAATTTGGACCAACCTTCACAATCGTTTGCGCTTCTGATCATTTTCTACTGATGTGTACCAATAAGCCCAAACAAACACTCTACAAGATGTGCTGTGCACTTCTCGAAGACCAGGTGCTGTTACACCATATTCCTAGAATAACGACTCATTACCAATTAACCGAATCAAATTGTCTAGTCAGGCAAATTATTCATTGTGGCCAAGCTCACAAGATATACCGCAACAATACTGCCAAGGAGCGGATCTTTGGCAATTATGAAAAGGTGCCCAGCTATTCAATACTGGTAGAACTCAGCAAATGAGAAAATTGTGTTTCTGCCATCACACTCTAACATGCACACATTCACAACCAACTTAACTTCTAGATTTCAAAGAACAGAAACCACAATGTGGTTACAAGGTTGAGAGTAGCAAGGAACTCTGAATTATCGCCGACCTCCTAGGGTAGTTTAACATGCAGGGATACCGAACGAAGAATGGCAAAAAGTGAGGCAAACACTGAAACTTCACTTTGAGGATGAAAGTGTTACGATAAACAGAGCTTATTTTGGACTATACTTTTGAGGCTCGTCGGAGCATGGAGGCTCCACAACCAAGTGCGCATTCACACAGCCGTCAAACGACCGGTCACGTCACCATCACGCTGAAAAAAAATGTAAAGTAGACGTGGCGGAGCTACATAGAAACGACAACGATGGTTGCAACGTCGACAGCAGCACGTTTTTGTACAGTGTTCACCTACAGCTGTCATGTTCGCTTCAACATGGAGAAATGAAATCAACAATTTTCAGTAAATAAGTTCAGTCAACTATTGTTGGTATAATGTTAATGAAAACAAGAAATAAAAGGCTAATAGTATATTATGACGTTTGCATGTGGGAGGTATATTATGAATGTAATATGAACATCACCGTAAAGCAAGAAATTGAATGGTATTGATCCCCATAACTGGTAACATTGCCATAGTGTGTCAGCGACTCAGTCGTTCTACCTCCGAGTTCTTTTGTGCTCTCCCCACTTTTTCCATCCCATGCCGGCAACAGAAAGGTGGAGCATTCCTCGACGTCGACCCATTTTTGAAGAGGAAACGGCCTGGACGTCCTCACCCCTGCTCAAAACTGGTGCCTTGACCGTGACAGGATGGAGCATTTGGCGGCTGTGTAAATGACCCCTTGGCATTACCGCTGAGAAACCCGCACGAATTTCCTTGCGGCCTCACGCAATGAGCGTGTGGTCGTCAGTTTACTCCCTCTGAACTATCAAGTCGGTAACAGACTCTTACCTGCACCTGGATGAGCTCACCGAGCCGCTCGCTCAGCCGGATTGTTTGCCGGCAATTTCGCCCCAGCTCCGCCAGCAGGCCACTGTATTTCGCTTCTAGAGGCTGAAGCAGGGCTCTACATCCTTCTCTAGGCTCTCGTCCACTCCCTCGGCAACGACTTTGTCAAGTTCCTCGTAGTTGACCAAGACCAAGTTTGCAGGTCTGTTCTGCTCATTCAGGGACCGGGACGCCGCTGGAATGGCGATGAGAGTGTTAGCTGAGTGTTTGACCAATGTGTCGTTGCTACTGTCAATTGGCACAAGAAGTATCGGTACAATGCGAAGCCAGCGTATCCACGACGATGAAAAATAATGACATAAATGTCTGGGGAAGGGGTGTAGCTTGGTTGCGAACTGCAATTAGAATGGCAGCGAAAAGGCCACTAAGTGCTTCTAAGGAGATGCTTTAGAGACTACGCAAGCATTTGCTGTTTTTACTGAACTAAAGGGAATCCACATGAGAAATATCATGCGTTATAACAAGGGGGGTAAATACGTTCTTCAAATTTGCCGACAATTTGTGACAACTCCAAAGCAACTTCAAGGCACCATACTGCAAAAAAACTAAGAAATGGTGCCCAAATCTGAGGACCTTCAGAACCTGGGTTCTTGGAAACTCCGGCTGCAGGATTCAGTAAATGAAAACTGGTTGAATAAAAAAAATAATGGCAAAAAAGGTTTGCAGGAGGTGGAAGGGACACTTGCTCGGTCACTGGCGCATACTTTCAAGTTTACCAAAAAAAGGCAAAGGTGTACTTCCTCAGGGAAGGGTGCATGCTCAGGATTTTACACTATGCAATAAGTACAGTAGTTCCTGTACTCAAAAAGGAATAACAATGCCGAGAATTGGGGGACCCTTAAGCTTTGCCTTTAAAGAGTGGTACCCCTTGTGGTGTACACGTATCCCGAAGGAGTACGGCCACCAGCGTGGGTCCGGTCTTAGCGAGCCGCAGGGCACGCGTTAACCGTCGCCGTGGCGGGAACACGGTACTGCTCAAGTCGCAACACTTTATTTAGGCAACACCAAACGCAGTACAGCCCGTTGCAAATAGGCGCGGCGGGAAAGCAAGTAGGCTTATCCACGCCACGGGCACAAAGTACTACACCGGGGTGCCACGAGCACGTCTCCGCGGTAAAGCTGATCCACGGAGACACCGGAGCAAAGGCCCGGTTGCTCGAGCGAGGGCAAAGGCGCTCGCGTTGGCTTCGAAGGGAGACGGGTCGGCGTAGCTAGGCCACGCACTAGGACACCGTACCGCCCTTCGGCCGTGAGTACGCAGCGGGGCAACAAAAGATGAGCGTTCGCATCGGGCGCGAGGCACCGTCAGCGAAGTCCGACGAGCCCCGAGCGACGGGACTCGACGGACGGAAAACAATGCGTGGCTCACCGTTTGAAGTCCCGGACTGTACTCCCCGCTCCCGACGCAGCGCGCGAAAAACCTCTCGGGGGTCCCCCGCGCGCGGCGCCACAGTCAACATCCGCTACCGGGTGAGGGAGTTAGACGTCACTCCGCCCTTCCCAGCGCGGCTGACGGCGAAGGAGGGTAGGCATGTCGGGACATGAGAAAAGAGGCGGCAAAGCCCGCGCAAAGGCAGCGGGCCAGCCTCAATTCCCACATCCCCCTCTCCTAAATTTGCCCTTTACCGGTCTGCAAAAGGCAGCCGGACGGACGTCACCCATGCAGTTAAAATGACACTGCTATGAGCGACAGCTAACCTCAGTCCAGCCCTGCTACAGCTGCTAAAAAAATCACAAAGGAGAAACAAAACATAAATAACAAAATAAACACATGACACTATAAAAAATAACTGCAGAAGGGAGCACAGAAAAGTGGCACTAGTGTTCGTGGTGCTGAAGGGGGATAGCGTCCAGTGCGCGGAGGTGCGGTAAAGGCGTGACAGTGTCCGCTGGTTGCGATGCCCGAGTGCGAGGTCACAGGTACCGGAAGGGGGCTCACTGATGGCTTGTTGCTGCTCTTGATAAGCCGCGAGTCCGACGAAAGCCGCTTCGGTTGTTCGGAGGCCCCGCATTTCCGGCTCGATGACGAAGCTGGACGTTGCGGGAAGCCGGGCCTCTCCGGTGGTCAGGGAGGCCGAACCAAAATTGGCTGCAAGGCGCCCTGGCGTTGGCCGGCAGCATATAGCTGCTTTCAGCTGGCCTCGCGCAGGAGCCATGGTGGTAAAGGCAGCGGGGCTTCTTCGACGACGGCCGAGAGCAGAGCACAGCCAGATGGTCTGACGTCAGTGGGTCAATGACCCCCCAGCACCTCCAGCGTCCGCATCGATGGGGGGGAAGCCATGACGCACTCTTCGCGGGCTCGCACTGAAGCGTCACGCACTTACACACGCACACACACCGCCGACGGCTGCGCGAGCGTAGGCGCAAAGCGTCCTTCGTCTCTCTCCCCCGGCAAGCACCGACACTCAAGGTCACACACAGCTCCCTTCGCGGTAGACGAACGAACACGAAAAAAAAAAGTAAACACAGAGCATACTGACACTAAACATCTGGCAAAAAAAAAACAAAATACAAATAACACTTAATATTAGACAAAAGAAACATAAAATACACATGAACACTTAAAAAAAACTGGCAGCAGACAGGGCGGGGTTAACTTCTTTACGAGAAAAGGCCGTAAAGAAGCCAACCTATACTGAGGCTAGACAGTAAACCGAGGGCCTTCGGTTGCGGAGAAGTCCGCCGTCCGGCTTGAAATCACAAAGGTGACCGCTTCCTCAGATTATACCGGCGCGGGGTCCGAATGCGGTCCGTCGCTCCGGGTGTGCCCGTTGCTTGCGCGAAGTGCCGCAGGGCACTGGCGCGAGCTCGTCAGACCGTGACAAAGGGCTTCAGGTCTGCGATGTGGGCACGGCTGAGTTTTCCCAAAGGGGATCTTTCAGCTAGTACGCGCCACGGACGCTCACTGACAATCGGTTCATAAAACCGGGCGGCTTTCCAACCCTTGGCTCAACCGTTTGTCAGACGTGGCAGGCACGGAATAGCGATAAAAACCACGCTTCGTGCCGGGCCAGGTCACAACATCGCTCAGTTTGCAAAAACTTTCGAGCCACTCAGACCGGCCATGGATTCGTCGTGAGAGGATCGCAACAGTGCGGCTCTCAGACTTTTGGGCATAACCACCTTAAACGGGTCGCTGGACTCGTCGTCAGTGGCGATATAGTTCAGCAGGAGCCCGTCATGGTCCAGCAAAATGAATCCGCCGGGGACTCAGCGACACACGCTGTTTCAGCCCCCTAATAGCGCCCGCCGCAGAACAAGCAGCGTACCGGCGCGCCTCTCAAGACGGTTTAACGGCGCCCGCCGCAAAGCAAGCAGCGTATACGGCGCTCCGTCCCTCCGAGACTCGAAACGGATCACTCTGCTGAGCCTTCAGTAGCTCTTCGCTGCCGAAAGCAATTCCCATTCTCCCAAATGGGGGAGTCTGGTATCGCGCCCACTCAGGGCCGCAGCAACCGCCGCGTGAGTCGGCGTTACGGGTTCGCTCTCGGCCTCGTGGCCTTCGGAAAGCTCCCCCGCTCGGCCGCTTCGCGGTGCGCCGCTTACCTGGTTAGCAGCCAAGGTTTGTCCGCATGGGGACTCACCCTCCTCGCCGAATGGCGGCGAAGCTGCTGTTTCGCCCCCGACGCTTGCATGTGCTAAGGCACCGCGAGCGGCCGTCGCACCGAAATCCAGGTTCTCGGCAGACAACAGGGGGCACGAGATAGCGCGTCAGCTACCACGTAGCGGTGTATTCACCACAAAAAGGGGTGACGACACAGGCGAGCGCCGAAGCGCGCCCGTCGATAGAGGCGGTGGCCTCTTGCTGCAACGCGGCATGCCACGAAGCAGACATGTTGCGACGAGCCCGAATCGCGCAGGCGAACTGACTCGCTAAGAGCAATCAAAAGCTAGAGCTTTTGATACCGCGTTGGGCGCCAGTGTGGTGTACACGTATCCCGAAGGAGTACGGCCACCAGCGTGGGTCCGGTCTTAGCGAGCCGCAGGGCACGCGTTAACCGTCGCCGTGGCGGGAACACGGTACTGCTCAAGTCGCAACACTTTATTTAGGCAACACCAAACGCAGTACAGCCCGTTGCAAATAGGCGCGGCGGGAAAGCAAGTAGGCTTATCCACGCCACGGGCACAAAGTACTACACCGGGGTGCCACGAGCACGTCTCCGCGGTAAAGCTGATCCACGGAGACACCGGAGCAAAGGCCCGGTTGCTCGAGCGAGGGCAAAGGCGCTCGCGTTGGCTTCGAAGGGAGACGGGTCGGCGTAGCTAGGCCACGCACTAGGACACCGTACCGCCCTTCGGCCGTGAGTACGCAGCGGGGCAACAAAAGATGAGCGTTCGCATCGGGCGCGAGGCACCGTCAGCGAAGTCCGACGAGCCCCGAGCGACGGGACTCGACGGACGGAAAACAATGCGTGGCTCACCGTTTGAAGTCCCGGACTGTACTCCCCGCTCCCGACGCAGCGCGCGAAAAACCTCTCGGGGGTCCCCCGCGCGCGGCGCCACAGTCAACATCCGCTACCGGGTGAGGGAGTTAGACGTCACTCCGCCCTTCCCAGCGCGGCTGACGGCGAAGGAGGGTAGGCATGTCGGGACATGAGAAAAGAGGCGGCAAAGCCCGCGCAAAGGCAGCGGGCCAGCCTCAATTCCCACACCCTTTGAATAACTAACTGTACGAAAAAAGGCTGTCATAAGCTTGATTCCATGGTTGCGAGTAACAACAAAGAATAAAAGAAGAGACTCGTGGGAAGAAGCAGGAGCAAAAATTATGAAGCGACACAGGAGCCACACTTACGACCCTTCCAATAACTTCGTCTCTATAAATGAATGTTGGGTCTACGCGCGCCGTTATGACCCAGGAAAAAAAAAGCTGCAGAGTAACCTTGGAGAGCACCTGAATTATGCGACCGCCTAAGCGTTCCCAGCGCACTACATTACAAAGAGAACATGCCAGGCATGTTCGGACAAACACTGACACACCCGAAGCTTACCTCCTCCAGCCAGCCGATCAGAGGAGTTGTCGCTGCTGGCGCTAAGTTTGTGGGCAGGTTCTTCGCTGGCATTCTTCGCGAGTTGGTCGCTGCCGGGCACCTGAAACAGAAAGGCCTTGAGCACCGTGTCGTTCTGAGGACCAAGGCCGTACCCAGGAATTCTTTTTTGCTATGGCCCACCTTTCGAAGGCATTCAAAAATCCTTATTCTCATTATTTATTCTCGCCAAAGCTAACCCCACCCCCCTCTGCCTGAATTTCGAGGGGAGCCAGGGCCCCTTGCCTGGCTATGGGTCTGACTCACATGGAGGGTTATTCTTAGCAAATCATATTGTAACAATTTCTTCATGAATTACTTAATTAACTAACTGTTGGGTTTTTATGTCTGACAGCCTCTATGAGATAACGATCACCAATGTGGAGGGCTCTGGAAATTATGACCACGTGACTGCTGTGTCAATGGCCATGTGCATTGTGCAGGCAGCTCTGGTGCACGAGCTTGTACTGCTTTAAACAGTGACCTATCCTTCAGTGTGCGTAACTGCGCCGAACTTGCTTAGCATACATTGTACAGTGTAACGAATCATGATATAACGAAATATCGATCACAAGAAGGTAAATGAAGAGTAGTCTTGCAACGGACTTAGTGATAGAAATACACCTTTATAACAAATTTTCAGTTATGACGAACCTACTTTTGTGTACGTAGCTACTTAGTTATAATGGGGTCTAAGCATGATACTGAGATTCTTTAGCATGCACCTGAATCTAAGTAACAAGCCTCAAGCACTAAACGAAACCCAGCTGCCATGGCCCAAAATTCGATCACAATTCGTACATTCACTTCAACGAGACTTCAAAAGACTTGGGACCAGCTTTGTCGAGGTCTAAAAGTAACTGCAACGCAACTTCTGACAACATGTTGAAACAGCAGGCTTGACACTGTGCAAGAAGCGCTGCCACCCACGCACTCCGATGCATACGATGCCAAGCAACAAAAAATCTCGCGAAAGCGATCGCATCCTCCACACTATCAACTGAAAATGCAGCCTGAAGTCGATTTCAAACATGCTTACCTGATTTTTTTCTTCGCCTCTAACCTTCATGGCACAGTGTCCACCATTCTTTTGAATTTCTGCTGATATGTCAACAATGTCCATTACCAGTCGCTCTTCGTCGCTCGAGTCATCAGCGATGTGCGTCGAAATAGTGTTGAAACTTTCCGACTGCCGCAAATCGACAGCCCAAGAACGTAGCCGCTGCACGTGATTGCCCGTGCCAAACGACTGCTTGGGAGGATCCTCTTCTATGCATGTTATCGATGCTCGATCGCCACTTAGAGGGACCGGGACCACCAGACTGTGAGATAACGATTCCGGGCTTGCACAGCTTGCCACGCCAGGCTCCATGTTTTTCTTCTCTTCTTCAACTTCTACTGGACCGTCTTCACGATTGTTTTCGCTCTTTGGCATTTCTCTTTCGCTGTCGCGATGATGCACTCGCTCTTCACATGTCGCATCTTCCTCTATGCCTCCCAAGATGTAGCTGAAACAACCAAAGTGACCCATTACTAGCAGTCAACCAACATACTATAAAGGGGTGCCAGTCACAGATTTTCGAAGCAGAGTTTACTCTGCCATACAGGTCGTCACCCGCATACTAAGACAGCTCTGAGCAAGTGCGAAGGTTGGAAAATGCTGACAAGGTACTTCACTTTATCATCAAATGCAAATTTTTGCATCACACACCCACTGGCGCTAGCGTGACGCCACGCTACAGCATCGATTTTTGGCGACTTCACACAGCAGCTTGGCTAGTTCTGATGTCAGGGACTAAAACTAAAAATTTTCATAAGCGTGTAACCAAAATGACATTCAAAAGAGCAGCTCGTGCATCACCAACGAAGCCAAATTCCACGTCTTAGGGGAGCACGTGACGCGAAGATCCTACCATGCCGTGACATCGGAATACAGTATGAACCCAAACCAGCTATTTAAAAACATGTGATTAATCTTTCAGGGCGCATTCATGCTTACCGGTACATTTTCTAAAATTTTGAGGACATTCGTTTTATGGTCCTTTACAGGCCTCAGGGGAGGAAGCGCTAGCCCTCCTTTTACAGCTTTACAGGTCTTAGAGCAGGGACATTAGGCAGAAGAGATAAAATGTAACAAAACAATATCAGAAGAAGGAAGGGAACGAAGACAACCACTTGTTTGTAGCACAAAGCTACAAAGAAATCCGTACGGATTTCTTAGAGAGAAAAGATTCTTAGTTGACGAAAAATTCGTCCTGGTACAGGTTTCGAACTCAGCACCAACACCCTTCCGGGGCAGTGTCCTTGTGCCTCAAGTTGTCGATAAATTCGCCCTCATGCTGTCAATTGCTAGCTTCCTGGTTAGCTCAATTAGTAAAGCGACAGCCCCGTAAAGGCGCTAGTCCCGGGTTCGAACCCAGATCAGAAAGAATTTTTCGGCAACTAAGAAGCTCTTTTTTTTTGAGAAATTCGTACTTATTTTCTAGTGGCTTCGTGCTACAAACGGGCGGTTGTCTACTTTTCCTTTCTTAACTCTTTCACCACCTTGCGGGTTCTCGCACCACTCATTTGCAAAACAATATCAACACATGCAGTACAATATGAAAGCATAAGAAGCTCTGCATGTTTGAAAACTAGTTCACATATCATTAAAACAGGCCAAAACATAAGGTGTGTGAAAGAAATGCGGGGAAGAAAGTTCTATCAATTGAACACCAATGCAGCTAAATCACGAAAATATTAGAGCAGAAGCACAAACAAAAAAAGTTCAATACCGTGAAGCACTGATGCATAAAAGTGCAAGCATGTAATAAAGCACAAGAAACAAGTTACCACTGTTGTTAAGCAAACCTGAAGAGCTGCAAGCAATGTTTGATACATAGATCCTGACACTCACAGAACGCAGTATTCTCTAAACACCGACAGAATGCATTGCACCGTGTTTTGTGCTGTATATTCATGATTTTTCTTTCATGCCCCCCCCCCCCCTAAAATCAAGAGCACTGTTTACGTCGATTTGCTGCTTGCACACTTTATGCAGCTGCTGTTTCCTTTCGATCATGGTTCACACATTGCAGGTGAGCTCAGGAAACCTACGTATTTCACACACCTACTACACTGGGTACCTAAAGGGGCCATGACACGGCCAACCAACAATTCGCGGTTTCAAGCGAAAACTAGAAGTAGAGTATCTATCAGGCCCATGGAGGCGTAGAAAGTAGGCCGTAAAAAAATATCTCAGGGCAAAGCAAGCCTTAACAGTCACCAGCTGTAAATTCCATTCACCGCCAGCGACCGCCGTTTCGCCGTGGTGCGAGTGATAACGCGAGCTGGAGGGAGCACAGCCGCCGCCTTCCACCAAATGTTAAGCTGCTGCAAGTCAATTAGCTTCAGTGCCATGGTGGATAAAGCCAAGTTATCTTGAATTCATGTGCGGTTGACCACGAAACAATATTGTTCGCTAGAATGCGGACACTCGCGCAGCTAGGTCCTCATTAAGTCACAGCTCGCAATTGCACCCGTGTTGCCCGACTCTCCCGCAGCCCGCGTGTTTATAAAAATGTTCAATTTTTAAGGTGCTCAAGCAAATGTACTGACATTTCACCAGTCTGTTAAACGCACAAGGATTAACACACAAGTTATGTTCAGGACAAGCGAACGATGACCAGTGGTAAAGGGGAAATAATAAAAAGCAACTGCTCAGGCAAGTCACTAGGCCGTTCGCCCCTGCACGTGCCCTTATTGCTAAACCCCGTGAGCTTTTGTTCACGATACCTCGTGCTGGTGGATCACCTGCACGGCGGAACTGTTCTCACGGAGAGCCAGACTAAAAAACAAGTTGCCCCTGTCGCAACGTCCCTCCCGACAGGATAATGTGGGGGCGTGCTGTCACAGTTATTGTGGACAGGCGGCAGCATCTTGTGTGCAGACGCGAGACTGCCGACCAGCTGTCTAGCCAAGCCTGCTTATTCCGCGACAGTATATTTAAGCTCTACCTTGACTAAATGAAAGATTACTTCTGTAGCTGATTTCCTGCAGGATGAGGGCAGCAAAGTGTGAAAACGCAGAGAAGGATACACGTCTCCTGAGCAAAAAGAAAGTTGTTTGCTTCACCCATGAGATGGTCTCAAATGAGACTGGAGATATTTAACGAAGAGAAATGGAGCGGAGGGGAGCTTGGTGCTCACGACAAGATCAGGAAATGTGGACAGGGGTCATGCTTAGCGCGGACTCTGATCCAGGGATTGAATATTACATCGAGAAGTTCGTGTCAGTGTCTGCAGCATGATTAAGGGCTCGGCAAGTAAGTGCCTCTTACTGCGTGGTCGGTTTAGTGGCCCCCATCAACCTTTGTTCGTAAATAAGTGTCAGCGTGTAACTAAACTGGAAGTTTGCCAGGAACTGAGCAAGCAGGGCTGTCCAGTCTTTCAATGCGTCGTCGTGGCCATCCGAACCATAGGAAGTACCTCCATTCCTCAGTCTTAACTACACACAACACAGATAATGATCAAAAGTTGGATGTCACAGCCCCTTTAATAAAACTTGCTGTTGGAAAAGTGGCTTCAAACTTGCAAGAGAAAGATGGTTGTAGACAAACTACACATGGACACAGAAGACACGAATGTGCTAAATTGCGCTTGTCCGTGTCTTCTGCGGTCTATGTAGTTGGTTCGCAACCATCTCTTCCAACTATGTACTTAGCTGCATAACCACACACCAAAGTGTTTCTTTTACCAATGATAATATGGTACACAATTTTGTGCCCATTCTAAAAGAAAACATTCTGGTCACACCCAATTGGTTTAGGCTCAAGCAACAGCAGATGCAGTAGGCGTAGGAAAGCTCAACCATATTAACTGCGGGCGTCTTGAGCATTCCATCATTTTTAAGACGGCTTGAAGATTGCACCACTTATTATATATGCATCTATAGTTCTCTATTCCAAGCACAGATGTTGCTGCAATATCACCAATAATGCCAAAAAATTTCTGTTATTTGGGAATGTGGTTTTGAATAATATAGGAGGTAAAGAGTTGACTGCATACCTACAAATGTTAGCACTTTACTTTGATTTACTTTCACTGATTGACTCTCTTAGCCTACAAGCATCCCACAAAAACATAAAATTGCCAACACAAATGCAGGCAGAATCTTCAGATTTCGGAGACAAAACTTTTATCTCGGCTTAATCAGTCGCTTACTCAGAGCTGTCAGTGCTCGTGCAGAAACCACCTCGGTCATAGCAGCCGCCATCTTCGTCTTCGTAGACGTCCATTTCCTCAAGATTAATGAATTCGCCGTGGGCTCCAGACTCGTAAACGTTCACGGAGTCCGCATCCTTCATCGTGAGTGTGCTTGACGGCCAGACATTGTATCCCCGAGGCCAATCTTCACGAGTGCTCACAAGTGTCAACTTGGTTTCTTTTTCTGCATCCATCTTAAACAGCTCTCACGCTTGAATGTTTTAATGTCGTTCGGTCAATAGCTCAATGCCACCAGCAGGCTCCTCTGAAACAGGGGGCCTGTTCAAAAAGAAAAAAATATATATATTTATGAGTAAACAATATGCATAACGTAACGATATGCCTAACGTAAGGCAGAGAACAAAATTATAAGTAAGGCGAAAATGCTATTTGTTTAGATATGCTGCAGCCTTAAAGGGAAGCTAAAACACTTTTTAACAAAAAAAAAGTAACCTTTGATTGTGTGAGGACAGTTTGGTTCCTGCTGAACTCGAATAGCAATGCAAGAATTCTCGCAACTGAGTGCAGGCAGCACTTTCTGGTGAAAAAACAGAGGCTGTGGCCGCCGGACTTTTTGAGACACCAAGCAACTACGTGTTCGGAATACCGCATCATCTGCAACAGCAGCATCGCTGAAGCATGGCCTCCTCAATTATTTCCGGCAACAGAACCTTGTGAGTTAGTCACAGAGGCCATGGTTGAAGACACGGGAGATGCTTGCTCAAGTAGCACTCACTACATAGAATGCATTTGCTTGCTCCGCTCACGAAGTCGACTGAACGGAAGGTGAAGGTGCGTCCACATGGTTTCGCCATCGTTTTGCACCTAAGCTGGCATATCTCGTCGTAACACGAAATTCTCGCAGCACTCTACACTGCCTCAGGATGCTACATCTGCACATGGCTGAGTGTAAGCACAGGTAGGCGACGCTCAGCTAAACATGCCTAGTGAGCGGCCGAATTTCACGTCGGAGTGCAGAATGGCTCGGGGAGAGAAATCGAAAATGATGCATGTTTCTACGACCCCACTTTTAGCACACCCGTAAGGGCAGAACAAGACAAACTTCTCTTTAGCGTATTCTGAAGCTCCTTCTGCTACAACCGTGGAAAAGGTTATGACATCATCGACATTATTGCCGGTCTTTGCTAACCACAAATTTTTATAGGATTTTAAAACATCCTCAGTTTCTTTTTGATCTGGGGCTATTGGAGTGGGAATACTCAGCAATTCTAGTAATTAGGTTACCGCACAAAGAACAAAATATAAGCAAATAATTGGACCAGCCATAATCCAAGGCAAATTCGTTGGTATAAGTAACGCCAAAACTATGATACCATTACAAGACATGCCAAAGCAATGGGACCCCCGACTAATTTTGCAGCTGCACCTAAGCAAACTGGTGTGCTCGAATTTGGCCTCCACTCCAGAGGTGTCTTGAAATCAAACCAATGTTTTAAGACATATAGCACCCTACCTGCTATACCACCACGGCAAGTGAATATCAATTAATAAAAAGTGGTTTTCGTTCTATACAACTAATGATACAGTTAAGAAGAGTCACTGAAAAAAAAAAAACGTTTCTTTGGCACCAAGTTTTGATGGCTGCCTTCATGTTGGCAGCGTTGTGCAGTACATTGATTAGTTGAGAGACTACCCTATGTGTTGGAGGGTTCAGAGTGTGACTCATTTTATTAAGATTGTATATAAATGACCTGGACGTATGAGACTTGTATAAGTTAATTACATATGAGGTTCTGAACGAATTGAACATGAAAATAGTTCAAGGAGCTTGCTTCTTTCATTTGAAAGATTCATATATATTTACACGAGCCGCAACGTATCACTCTGATAGTATGAAGGGTTTTTGAACTTCGGGACCCGGTTTAAATTGTTGAGCCCGAAAGATTAAGGTGGTGAATAGCAACTGCTTAAGATGTGCGGATGGTCGTTTCGTGACAAAGCAGCTCCAAGCCACGCGCTGCCAAATGGAGCCGAAAGCGAGACGATTAGGCAAATCAATGTACTACCCAAATGTTGCACCGTACTTCCTACAGGGCTGCAGAAATAAGGCGCCTTCTTATTCTAATCGCTACCACTACCATCACTACCCAGCATGCTCGCTGAAGCCCCATGCGTTGCAACTCCCATTGAGGCTGCGGCGGCTGCATTTCCGATGGAGGCGGAAATGTTGTAGGCCCGTGTACTCAGATTTGGGTGCACGTTAAAGAACCCCAGGTGGTCAAAATTTCCGGAGCCCTCCACTACGGCGTCTCTCATAATCATATAGTGGTTTTGGGACGTTAAACCCCACAAATCAATCAATCAATGAACTCCCATTGACACTAGCGCCAGATTTCCCTCTAGTGTATCTATAGGAACCTCTACGGAGCCACGGCCGCTGGATAAAAAAGCAGCGGCCGTGATCTAGCATTTGGTCGTCGTCAAAATGCGACTGCCACGGCTAGGATGGAACCCGTGACTTCCGGGCCAGCAGCACTACGAAAAACAACGCACTCGCAAGCTATCTTTACAGGAAAAAAAACATTCACCTGATAAGTAAATCTTGAAAACATCTCTAGATGCCTACCATCTAGACGCACTAAGACAGTTCGATCTTGTGCAAGTTGTTCGATGACCGTGCAAGCAAGTTCACTTGCACAGCGCGGCTCACTCCATAAACGTTGCGATCGTTTGAATGCGGAGATCGCACCCGAGGTGCCGCGATTCGCAGTTCAAGCAAAAGCGCGTTCATCGCGCCCTCGACCTCAAACCCAACGAAAACAAACGGTGCAACAAGCAAGGAGCTGATCGACGCTCCATCGTTGGTAGCAATAGTTTATAAAGATCTCAGATGGTGCTAGAGCAGCGCTGACATCAATACGTAATCCAAAAAACCCAAAGCTGGGGTGTAGGCGTGTTTAGCGGTGCAAGAAACCACGCGTTCACCTGATACGTACGGTGCAAAGAGGAAGTAGTTCATCGACGCTCAATCACTAGCAAAGATCTCAGCTTGTTGGTCGGGTCGAAGGTGCCAGAGCAGCGCTCACATCAATGCGTAATCGAAAACCCAAAGTTGAGATGTAGGCGCATTTTGCAGTCCAAGCAAACGCGTCTTCACCACGCACAATACCTTGAGCCCCCTTTAACGTGACACGAGCGCGCGGGAACGTAAACAAACGTTGCAAAGAGCAAGAAGTTCATCGAAGCTCGTACTTACATCAAGCATGGTCTACGCAGAACAACATCCGAGCTTGGTGGTCTGCACGAGGGTGTTGGCGCAGCGCTTACAGCAAGTGTTCCGCTAAACTAGTTTCGCGGCAAATGAGACTCTCGCCATTCTCTTTTTGATTGTGACGTGCCATCGGTAACTACCTCTTCGCCCTCTAGCGTGCGATGCTGGTCGACGTTGGTGCGCTTCGATACAGTGTACACTGTAGCTTCGAGGTCAAGTCGAGTATGATTTAGAAATCTATAAAACCGACAAAAACTTAGGCATGGTCTGCACGGTCTCGCGTTTACTCGAACGTAGCCTTTATAATTGTTGGGCCACTCGAAATTACCATATAATAAGTTCTAATAAGGCTTAGTGGTTGCTAAACGCTCTTTCAAAAAAAAAAAAAACACACTCACACAATGTCTTACTCTTTTTGAAGTTTGCTACTAAAATGATTACTTTGCAATGTTCTATTTGTTATTACACTTGCAAGCGTGATCTGTAAACATTAGTTTTAGATCGGCATTACGATGTTTGAAACAAGTCTATCATCAGCATCAATGAACCTTTCCAAAAATTGGTGCGCGCCATCTAGGCTGGCCGCAAAGCCCAATGGGAAGCCGGAGCACCGGCGGAGTCAACGTTGGGCGGAGTGTCGTCTGGTACAAATCTAGTAACGTTGGTCTGGTAGGTGTTCTGCGGTGTCGTCTGCTCGCGGAAGCGTTGGCTCACTTCGTTTCCCGTAGCGCGCGGGCGTACCAACTCATCCTTGCGAGAATAACCCTGCTTCAATCTGCATTCACGGAAGAGGCACAACGCAGAGCACCATAAAGTTAGCAAACGGTAAGTTTCCTCGACTTATTAGAGACCCGGGAAAAATGCCAACGTACCCGCGAAAGAGCTCATTGAATTACTCGGCTCTCGCGGTGAGCCAGTGCGCTTCGTTGGTCGTATTTCCATGTAGCAGAAGCTTTTCTGTTTTGTTTTATTTTCAGCATGACCGTACAGCTTTACTATTAGTACATTATGCTAGGCACTATCACTTGTGATATGCTTCCGCGCGATACGCGGTGCACGCCCCGCCGCGGTGGTCTAGTGGCTAAGGTACTCGGATGCTGACCCGAAGATCGCGGGTTCTAATCCCGGCTGTGGCGGCTGCATTTCCGATGGAGGCGGAAATGTTGTAGGCCCGTGTGCTCAGATTTGGGTGCACGTTAAAGAACCCCAAGTGGTCGAAATTTTCGGAGCCCTCCACTATGGCGTCTCTCATAATCATATGGTGGTTTTGGGACGTTAAACCCCACATATCAATCAATCAATACGCGGTGCAAGACCGTGGCACTTCGCGCATGATAATCAATGTGAAAATCTGACCCCTATTAGTGGGTTCGAGCCCCACTATGCTGGTGGAACGGAATTCTAATTGCCTGTTTCAAATGTTGTGCCTGAGAAACTTTGCACTTGGGACGCTGAGAGTATAGTAAAAACCAGCTACCAGCAGGCCCATAGAGCGAGCAAGTGAGTACTGTCGGGTGCGGAGATTACATAGTTACACCACTGTGTCACACTTCATAAAGCGCGAATATTCTGCGCATTTGACTTCGCAGTATTTTTTTTGTGTGTGAAACAGCGTAAAACTTGCTGTGTCCGTGTGGTTCCTGTTAAGAACTTGAGAATTTTACCTGTCTGCGCGAAGGGTAACAATGGCAAGAAATGTATTAACGAATGGGCGTTGGTGTGCAATATATACACAATATTCTATTTTACTGTTTGAGCTCCCGTGATCCCTTGTTTTATTACCATTTATGACTATGCTAATTTAGTGATTTGTCGTTTCGATGCAGATGGCTCTCCAAGCTGCGCAGAAATTATACAGCTGTTCCTGTCGCCTTTGCCAAAATGGCCGAGGACTAGAACATCTGAAGAAATCGCCTCAGGTGCATTCAGAAGGGAAAATTTTATGGAATAAAGCATTCTCGTGGTGGTAATAAGCACTCAGTGTCTGGATATAGTATGTTGGCGCCAGAAAACGCTGATAAGTAATGCTGTACAAGGCCGCGGATGGTGAGACTATGACTTTAAAAGCAATGGCGGAAGCCTCATTTAATGTAGGAAACGTATAGCATACTGCAGCAGCGCTTACATCAGTTAGCAACGCTACCTGGCTGTTAGTGTCGCTTTTATATCCGTAATAATGGAACTAGCACTCTTTGCTTTAACACAGGGAACCAAAAAAAAAATGAGGTGCGCGAAGCCATCATAGGTGAGGCCTCTAGGCTTATGATGAATAACAAGCAGATACGATTGAACAATACCAATCAGTAAACAGCTTGGTATTGTAAAATAAACACTAAGTAACACTGCAATAAAAAACTTGCAGTGTTTTCTATGGATTCACCCAAGACGACTTAAAGGCGAAAGCCATCTTTTTTTAAAGACGATAGTTTTTCTAGGGGACCTTCGACGCAAAAATTTGGGTCAGTCTCTACATTTGTCTGTTTGTTTACATCTGGTATACATGAAACGGCCGACCCCATCCACAGCACCCATCAATGTTGCTCAAGGCTGAGCGTTCATGCTTGTGCAATTGTTAATTAAAAAGCAAATATTGCGCATGTCTGAGGCACCATAACAACACGTATATATTCTGCATGTGCGTCGTTTACTAGTAAAGGCATGAAATAGTTTTAAGGACCGTAGCGCTTATCATGCTGCGCTGACCATGCAAGGCTTGCACGGAAAAACTAGTGTTTCTGACGCTTTGCGAAGATGAGACGGTGGTGCCACCTACCCGTCGCCTTGCGTTCTACACCTCATCACCTCTGAGACGGGCGTGCACGCCCGTCTCAGAGCCACGCGCTTTGTTTCCTAAGAAAACTGCCAGATGGCGCTCATGTCTGACGTGTGACGTCACTTGATGCGCTCGTTCGCCTCCGCTGCACGCTCGAGGTACTCTAACGCAGCGCCTCCAGAATACCATTCACCAATTTCTTGCGCAGAACATTAAATAAATGTCTTGTTCCCTCTCTCCACACGCAAGACGATCATCCTTCGACGACATCTGCAGGTTAACATGCAGATACCGGATCAATTTCTTTTTCAGTCGGTTTATTGGCTCTTTCACACCCATCCGGAGGTTTTCTGCACTTAAAGTGGCTTCGCACTGGTTCTAGTGAGCGGAGGCATTCCAAACATGTCGTACTTCACCTGGTTTTTATCGGTCTCCGTGATTGGTGGTCCGATAACACAGGCAGTGCAAAGCGACAATGTCGTGCGATGGCGTGATATTAGACCGTCGTGAATACTTTAAAATGTGTAAGGCCCAGAACGTTACAGAATGTGTAAGGTGTGGGACCTTACACATTCTGTGATCCGTGATGTCACAATGACGTTCTGTGGTGACGCGATCGCGCGATAATTTTTGCGTCGCTCTTGTTGACGCCACCATCACGGGATGCCACAGCCACCGACGGAAAAATTTTTGTTTTTAGGCGAAAACTGTAGGTGCCTCGTCGAACGTTAAACTTGACTGTTTGCGTCCCGCGTCGGTGACGTCGAGTTGTCCCAAAAAGCATCACGTGGTGACGACGACATATATCGCGTCAGACACCGCCAAAAATTGTGACATCATTAAAACGTTATGTGAGTTCACGTGATATCCGAGATTGGTCAAGGTGGTCTTATCATGCAGGCAATGCAAAACCTCATTATACACGTGAAGAAATTTTTAGAAGGGTGGTGTGGATGGTAGTGGGCGCGGGCCCAGGCAGGGTGTGCAAGAGGGGCACTTACCACACTCAAGGCACACCAGCACTTGCCCACGCCCAAGCTACACCAGTGCCCTCTCCCAGCCGCGATGCAAGACGGGTTCGGACCCGTGGTGTCATCCTGCTGACACTGATGGACTGGCGGGGTAGAATCTGCACATCGACTGACAATAATAACGATACGGTGTTCAACTTCATGGCGACTTTGGTGAATGCGCATGGGACCCTGGGATTCCTTAATGAGGCATATCTAATGGTGTCACCTCTGTGACTTAGCGTATTACGTGGTATGCTTCAACTGTAAAACCCCAGCCCCGAAATCACGTTGAATTAGAGCTCAAATACCTTAACCAAGGAGGTTATACTAAAAATTCTGGAGTGGCGGAGGGGCTCCGTGGCTGAAGCCGACGCGCCGCCATATTGCTCAGGGCAGTGATGGGCGCATCGTAGCGTACGTGGCTTTCGTGTTGTTCTTGAGCTAGTAATGCTGCGTGTGGTGCTTTCAATTGAACAGGACGTACGGTTCTGAACAGGTCTATGACCACTTTTTGAAACGACGATGGTGGGCTCTTGGGTAGCATTTGGCTGCGAGAATCGTGTCAAAGTGGACACCGGACGCAACTTTCAATGTATAAGAAGGTATGCTGCACTCGCTCGATTTTCCTCGCATATTTTGGCGACTACGACAGCATTCGCGCGTACATAGATTTCCTCTTTGCATGCAGGTGCACAGTAAACTTTGAATAATTTTTGTACGCTTCAGGAGTTCAAAGACGTCATATTGCACGGCTTAAGAGAGCGCACTCTGAGACAAAAATGTTAACCCCCCTCCCCCCCTCCCAAAAAAAATAATGATGACTCACGCTCAGTACACATGTTTAAGCACTGCTGCTGCGATGAGACAGGGTAAATAACAAGGCGACGGGTTTCTAACATTACTACTGTGTTTGCATTGTTTCCAGGGCACTTAGAAAAGCCAGTACGTGAGTGTGCCTAGTACAAGTGAGCGCTTCGTTTTTGAAAGGTAGTTAATTTAGCACCGGACTCTGCATTCCTGGGATTTTGAGTTTCTTTTATTTTCATGAGGACTAGGCTCGTAATGCCAAGAGAGAGAGAGAGAGAGAGATAAAGATGCGAGGAAACTCGCAATGCCAAAATTTCTGATTTTGCGATATGTCTCTCTTTATGTAGGATAAAAAGGAAACGAGCTCCTCTCAAAAGTCGGGGAATGATACTTTCGCCTAAAGCGCCTCTCATTGATGGAGCTGTCTAAATCCCGGTATTCCCAAACTTCACCCACAAAGGAATGGCACAGGCAAAAAAAAAAACGAAAACTGAATTAATTGCGAATGAGGTACAACTAACAGCTGA